TTTCTTTTAAAAAATTCATTACATTGTATTTGAAGTCGCACACAAAGCACTAAATTAGCTGTGACCTAAAAAATCTTACTGATAAGTCGAAATTATCACGACGGATGAAGCATGAAACGGTTCAGTTAGCGGTCTGAAGACGGACTATTGAGGTTTAACAATGGGGCCAATCACGCGCCAACTTCCAAGCCCTCTGGAGAGCACGTCCTCGCACTTCCGACTTATACGGATACTTCGCGAACTAACTCAGCCACCGACGAAAAATCCCCAATCAATTGAAGAATCATGATAAAGTTAATGATATCGACTGACATCAATTTATTCGAAGCGTGCGCCCTGAATAATTTTCCCCACTAATTTTATTTGCCAACTAATCTGATTGTGTTATCGATGGCGACGTGTAAAAAAGTTATCGATGAAAATTTAAAAGTTTGACTGTTATTTCACTAAAATTATTTTAGTATTGTAAGTACATCAAGTGAGATACTTACATAGATTCATTATCTAATACTAGTTTATCATTAGTCTCATCTCATTTATGATGTATCTAGAGTTGTTAACCAGGAACAATTCCAAATTATTTTTTAGTATATAGGAAACGGAAAATAATGTTACCTAATAGGGAAATTGGTGTCGGTAAATGATTATGATACGTATATCAACCTATACCCTACCTATAAACAATATGAATTCGAAATCAAGAAGTAATTTAATTTGTGACTATAAAACCGTGCCAAACACCACAGCTTCCGTAGTCCGTACCGATGCATGCCTACAAAACTTCGCGGCACACACGCAAGATTGTCAACCTACATCAGCTGAATCCATCAGATACGGCTTTCAAAGTTACAGGTACCGCAGTACAAGTCCAATCCGGTGTTGTGCAGTAAATAGGTCGGCTAAAAGTTGTCCCATCTCTCGCGCGTGCCGAACTGAACTTACAGACGTCCAACGCAGCTGCCGTCGCGATGCTTCCAGATATCTACGAGTCTACAATACAAGAAACTAGTCTACATTCTACACAACAGTTTTTATTATATCTGAACAAAGGAATCCGTGTATACGTAGGTACCTACATATATGCAAACTTTGTAACTTTTGAAATACTCGCGATTATGATGCACTCTTAGGTGCATCGGTTTTAGCAAACTTCTGCATCCCACAAACTAGAGGTAGAAGCGTTAATAAGCCTTCAACGTGGCTTGATATTGTGTTCAGTTTGTATAAACTTCGAGTTAGCAACGAAATTTTGATCGTAGTGAGGATTAAACTTGCAGTTTTAATTATTAATTAAACCAAAAGGAGCATTATTTACTGCCACATGTGTACTAAGGTTTGAATACCCCGAAGCTATATTACGATACATACTTTAGTAGACTTAATGAGACCAAACTATCCCAAATATCTATAGGTACATATAATCGTGAAGCGTTAACGCCAGTTTCCGTAATTGAAATGTTAAATTGTCATTTCCCCAAAAGGATTAAGAATCCCAAGTATTTCCATATACCCAACAACTATCTGAAACACGAACAGGTAAGTATCCAAGTTTCCCGCACGTTATTAAACGCGCAGTCATATCGGAATTGCTATAATCGAATACGCTCCGATTCATAATCGTATTAAACCGGGGGTCTGTATCGATTATATCGAGTAGATACACATGCTGAGAGCGGAACCGATAGCCAAATAAACTAGCAAACCGCATCGATTACCTGTCAATGGCAGCCTCCATTGGAGTGACCGCGTCGCCGGACCAACCGAGACCGTCCTAGCTGGAGGTACAACCGACATTTTAATGACGCAATACTTTAACTTCAGATATTAATTAAAACGGTGCTGTACCTACCCTCAAGCAGCATACACCGATTTTAGTTCAAAAGTCTCTTCAAGTTCCTGTAACTCTTTTAACAATTACAACGGGAAGGTTCTGAGAAACTGACATTAAAAACAAAATTCAAAATTAATATAACACCGTAAAAAGACAGAAGAATTTGCACAGCAATTTTATTATATTATGGTGTTAACAACACAATAGAGAGAACTTTGTCTTGACGAAACTTTTCTACACTTTTAATAAGAAGCCCATTCATCGCATACTTTTCATTACTGGAGAACTGGTGAAGAAGGGGGATGGCTTTATCGCTGTAACTCGTGACACCAGAAAATTAAAAGTGCAGAGTCATGGTTGGGCTATCTTAGAAAATAGGGTGACTGGCTCTTACAGAACTTAATTAATCGACGCTTAAGCCGCTCGTTGGACATGTCCTACAATCGATATCTAGAGGGAGACACTGGCCTCGTGTACTTCAGAACATAAATAAAATGTAACTACAACGTTTGAAATTACAGAACGAACAAAGTTTAGTGGACACTCTGAAATAACTACCTACTTGTGAATGAGTAAAATATTTTAACTCCTAATAGAAAGTTTCAAAATGGTTTTATTTAAAAAAAAATTGCTAGTACATGTTATTTATCCCTCTACTCTCAAAAATATCAATAAATAGTATTTACGACTGGCTGCCACCATTAAACTGTAGACAGGCCCTTTAGATGCTCAAGTATTGGTGGTGCGCCCTCTCATGACTGTTTCTGACACATAATCGATAGTGCACGGGATGTGTGGCTTTAGCACTGCTGTAATGGAATTGATAAATCAATACCACGCACAAATATAAAGCGAAATCTTTACAGACGAAATTAATTTATTTTACCTAAGTATAAAACTTTAGTACTAAGTTTAAATAATAGTTTACAAAGGGTACCTAAGCTCGAGTCTGTAGAGTGAAGTTGAAGGGGATAAGTAGGCCGACTAGATAGTTATTTAGGTATTTACTTAGGTTCACAATAATATTTTGAAATAGCTTTACAACAACTTTTATTTCAATAGACCACTTGTGGGTACATAGTTATAAACTTATGTGAGTTTAAAAAATAAATTTTTGGATTAAAGTTACTGAATAAAGTACTAACTTACGCCACTCCATTTTAGGTTGTTAGAAAATAGAGGTAGTCACCATTAGATACCTAATGGCCATTACTCTCAATTATTCATATACTGTTTTAGTTTTTAGATAACAGTTGGAGTTACTATAACTTTTTATTTAGTTTAGTATTACCATACATTGCTATGGATACAGCAACTTTCGATGAACTAAGTCCTTACTAAGTACTTCCCAGTTAAATTATCATGTTCACTGTTATACCTCAGTAAGTGTGTCTTATAGAGTCTGACTGAGAATAGAATACTAGACTGCAACTTCAACTACATACGAGTTCATTAGCTTTTACGTGAGAAGACTATTTGTGTTTTACTTTGGCGCAAAGGTTTCGGGCTGGCTTTGACTCTGATTATAAGTGCAACCTGAACGCCTGGCTATAAAATACAGGCAGGCACATTCCTAATTAAATTTGTTATTTTAAAAAATATGGACATTGTTGTCTTTTTTGCTTATGTAGCTAATACACCAACCCTTAGGTAATTAAGTTGGCATTTGAGTAGGTACATACGTAGGGTAGGTATGTGTACATTTCCTAAGGATGTGCTATAACAGGTGTTGCACCGTGGGTGCTCTAGAGCAGGTCTCTTCAGAGGATGCGGTGCCCCTTACAGGTGCTGAGGTTGGCCACTGGGGAGGTTTTAGTGAGGTACGAATCTCATATTCCCTAGTCTTTCTCCACAATAAGCTGGACCCCTTTTGAAGGTTTCCCCCCGTCATCAAAAAAAGATGACGTATGTGTACACTTACCTACCTACTTAAGCAACGTTAAACAAAATATATAAATTAGCACAACAAACTTGGTCAGTGTAACTAACGTCTTCGTTGGGATTCCACTGCGTCGACAAACTCCTAAAAGTTTGGTTGAAACTTAATTTAGCTGGACTAGTCCACGACCACTGATGGAAAGTTTTAGCAAAGCTCTGTACTAATGGAAGCCGAACTAAATAACTGCAAGCCATCTAACAACTGAGCGAATCCTGACGCTTGGTGTAAGTACATAAGTACTACTTATATGTTAGAGAGCGCAGAAAAATATGTTCTTCCACTTAAGCTTACCTTTACACGCTACTTAAAAGTTCGCATTTTACTTTAAAGTCGCAAATCTTTAGATAAGAACTTACAAAACATACATTTGCCTGTTGATGTGCCCGCCTTCAGGTTGATAATAAACAGTCGACGCAATAATATATGAAAACATTAATATGTCTCGTAAACTTTACAAGTTATAACCCATTTTCTCTTTACTCCTGTTCCTGTCTCATTGAAGCAACGTGAACAAAACTTTCAAGTCAGACGTCGTTAAAATTTGGTGAAACTCGTATAATGTTGGTACGTGCTTCATAGGAATTCAAATTACCTGAGTGCCCATTGTCGTAATTAGGTAGGTATACCGAACTAGTAATTCGTTATTATTATTTTATATTTCAGCTTAATCATCAAATAATCTACAGTTTCCGACCTTAATTTGTGCATTTTCTCCTGCCTTGTTGAGGTGTGCCACGATCACAACGAAGGGCAATTGCCGAGCAAGGAGGTATCGAAGATTTCGATGGTTTTTTGATTTTTCGAAAAGCAATGAGTTTGGAAGATCATCATTTCCGGGGATCAAAAGACATGACGATTATTTTCTATCTATTACGCCGAAAAGATATATCACAGTTGTATTAGAGTATATTCATAAACATATTCCAAATATTGTCCTTTAGGCGATTCGCGGATATGACATTAGTAAGAAACGACCACGACGCCACAGACTAACCATAGCCTACAGAGTGTAAATAAAATCACTAAAAGCACAGCACAACACTACGCGTACGCGACGCGCCGTTCACATCTGTCACGTTTCTCACACAAAATATTTATCAATTTATTTTCACCAAATACAGCTGTAAATTGTTAGTTACACTTTCTCTAGACATCAATTAGTATAACACCAATAAATACAATAATTGGCCAGCTATTTCCTTTCCAGATGTATCTGTACAGTGTTTAGAAATGGACCAACAATTCTCATTGTCCTGGAATAATTTTCACGGGAATCTCACTAAAGGATTCGCCGGTTTATTAGGAAATGGCGAATTCGTCGATGTTACTATAGCTGTCGAAGGTCATTTGTTGCAAGCACACAAAGTAATACTGTCAATATGTTCACCTTATTTCAAGAAAATGTTTCAATTAAATCCATGTCAACATCCAATTGGTAATTATTAGCTGATTGATTGGAATCTCATTATGCTTGTAAATTGGCTCCTTTGTATTTTATCTAGCTATACATGTAACATGTACCTTTCTTATATTTCAGTTGTACTGAGGGATGTGACTCACAAAGCAATGAAAGACTTGCTACAGTTTATGTATCATGGAGAAGTTAGTGTGAAACGTGAAGATCTCACTAGTTTTATAGGAACAGCTGAAGTATTACAAATAAAAGGATTGACAAATAAAGAGGTCAGTTTCTATAAGAGTATTGCATAGTATTCAGTTTTTATAGACACAATTAAAGAACAATAGGTTGCGGTCACCGGTGACCGCTTGGTGTTTGACAGTTTAATACTGTTTTTAAAGCTTGTGTATGTTAGATCTCTATTATTATAAATGTATTGTGACTATTTCAGACTGAAGAAGATGAAGACAGTGAAAGAGAGCAAGATTTACCTAAACACAGAACAGAAACTCAAAACAACACTCCTGATGCAGAGTCATGTGTGTCAGACACCTACGACACAGCTCTAAATGATGAGACAACACAAAACAATGAACTAGAGCTGTTAAAACAAAGGCAACTTATAGAAAAACTGCACAGAATCAGTAACCTTAAGAGGAAATCCACTGAATTCCTTCAAAAGAATTACTTCTCAGACATACTCAACCCTGAAAAGAGGTCAAAAACAAAAGAGAAAATTATCTATACTCAAAATAATCAGATGTACCAATCAAATAATTACGAGAACATTAAAAACTTGTATGAAGATAACCCAGTGGACATTTCTGCGTCATACAACACACATATATCAAAAACCAATTCACAAGATTTTAATGAGAAAAGTAAAGATCAATCTCTATCAGATAATGGCTTGGAAATGAAGACAGAATGTGATGATAGTGATATCATAGTAACAGACCCAGCAGTATGTTCTACGCCTAAGAATTATGAATCATCTAGAGAAGGAAAGAAAGATCTGTCTGTACCCATAGACTATCCATCCCCACAAGACAGTAAGTATATTTTATCACCATAATTTTATAAAACAATCTCTAAAATACAGCACTCTGACGTAATCTCTACCACCCCAATAAAATAGTTTAAAAACATTTTCTATGCTTATTAATGCTTCTTCATAGTACTTATCAACAAAATCAGAGATTGTGTTGAAAATGCAATCATTTTTATTATTTTCCACTAAGAAATTTTCCTGTTTTCTTTTGCATAAAGCTTAGAATTATGAAAACACGATGGCATTTTCAACAATTTACAATCTTTTATAAACAGTATATTATGTGCCTTTATTATGCAAACAGTGCAATGAAAATGCCCATCGTGATTTCAGATACCAGCTTGAGTTCGTTATTCATCGACCTTAAAAACTTAGTGAATGGTAAGGTAACTAACAATACACTGAGAACTAACTCAAGTGAAGAATACCCTAGACCAACGTTGGAGCACCGACTGGTAACTATCCCGCAAAAGGAAGACGGGAAGAAGAAATACCCACAGCGTTCATGTCGTCTTTGTTGGAAAATAGGACGCAGACGAGACACTCGATTTATGTGTAGCGCATGTGAACTGCCATTTTGCAAAACACCTTGCTTTGGAATTCATTTTAATGATGTACTAAGAGTATCTCAATTGCAAGGAGATTATTACGCAAATTAACATTTTATTTATACAAGCTTAACTCTCTAAAGGGAGTTATTTATAAGTGAAAATAATTGAAGTAGTAGATAAAGATCCACTAAAGGCTTGTAGTGATTACTACATATTTATAGAATTTTATTGCACACAAAGCTGAATCATAGATTCGAATGAGATTTGGGACCAAATCTATAAACTGGATTGTGACAAAAACATCTTAAAAAGTTGCATAAGAATAGCCTGGTCGAAATAAACATAGAAAGTTACAAAATTTGTATACAGCATATAGAACAAAGTTAGTTTAAAGTTTGCATTTGAAAAAGTTAATATTATTTAAACTGAACTGACTATAAAGATTTCAAAACCAAAATTTGGTTGAGCTGGAACTATCATTGTTTTGTAGGTAACATAGATACAAGACCTACATTTTCTTCATTAAACTGTCGAACACCAAGCAGTCACCAGTGACCGCAACCTATTGTTCTTTAATTGTGTCTATAATGACGGTACTCAACGAGTTAATACAATGTAAATATATAACATTGTACTGAAATAAAGAAATGGCATACCTATCTGGGGTACCATACTTTTCATTCATTACATTATGATGTCATGGACATTAGTATCAATCTTTAGCTATATTCGAATTATTGTAACTTGCCCCTATTTTTGGCTTACTTGACCGGGCTAATATAGTATAGGTTTATTTGTAAGTACCAGTTACATTTTGGAGTAATAAAGATCATAAAGCACAATAATTAATTAACTGTGATAATGGGACAATGCTCTCAAGTGCCAATTTATCATTAAAAACAAAGCTATTTTTATAAAACTTGCATTCAATTAGGGAGTACACTTATTTTTCACACTTTAATAAGTGCCATTATATTTCGCCATAAAATTTTATAAAGACTTTATTGCTCATTTTCTAGTCTATTTATTGTACTAATTTAAGATATGCAACAATAAATTCAGATACATTTTTTGTTACAATTAATGTAATTATTAGTTTTGAACAAGTATTTTACATAAAAATTTTGATATCAAATTGATCTCTATTACACGTATTTTACATCATTTTTACATTTATTGTATAAGAAACATATTGAGATTTACATTCCTGATTTTTATATTTGTAATTTTATAATATGTAAGGCCTCTGTGTGGAACAATTACTTAATTTTTTATTCTGAAGAACAAGTGCTATTTTAATGTGTGATGTTACTTAAAACTATGTTTTGAATGATTTATAATAAGCGAATGTATTTTTGTATCCATATTTGATTAAATGCTATATAAACAGATGGGCATTTTTTATTATAAACGTAAAATATGTTTTATTTTCCTTAATTTCTTCACTTGAATGAAAATGTCATTAAATTAACTTATTTTTTACAGGTGCTCTATCACTAGTTGTGAATGGATCTAATGAAAACCCGCAGCTACCGGTTCGTTACAAATACATCTACAGTAGAAAAGGCCACAAACAATTAGTGCATATGAACTTTGTTTATACCAAACATTCAACTACTCATGGCAAGACCTCGTGGCGATGTGTACAATATTTCTCGTTAAATCGATGCCCCGCCACTGTGGAAACTATAGAATCTATGATCTACGCCATCAACCATCAGCACAACCATGAAGATTGTTACGAGAAATTATCAAGAAATAACATCTACGAAATGTGCGTATCGCCTAAATAGAAACTAAGTTTCATGTACATAGTATTATTAATATAAGTTGAATCCTCCAATGTAAGCGTCATGAAGTTTTTCTAGCTAAGCTGGATGCATACAGCTAGGCTACGAATGTACTTCGACCTTATAAAGAGCCTCAGTGAGGTCTAAAAAGTTCCTATGTTTACTTTAACAGTTATTTGGTCTACAACTCTCATGTAACATTGTATGTATAAATTTCGGAATGGTTTTTATACGTAATTATACCTTTAGACTTATCTAGTCAGAAGATAGATTATTTTCATCTTGTAAAAACATATTTCTGTCCCTGTAAGGAATAATAATAATATAAAAACGTTTATTTACTTCTTACTCGTTTTATTTAACATTAAAAATATTTTAATATAGTACATTTTTCTAATAATTATTTATTCAACAGTAAAGTTGACAGTGTATTAACACAGTTAAGGAGCATTGCCTGTACTATTTGCATAACGCATAGCACCATCTGTACTTAGTTAAACATCCACTTTTTACATAAGTACCTACTAAGTACTTTGTTTTCATTGTTTATTTTGTTCGTTTGGTATTCCCACCTGACTGTTCTGCAAGCAAAGCTGCCATTCTTTTTCTGGGTCTATGTTTTTTACTGAATCCTATTCCTGAAATAATGAAAAATAAAAGTATAAAATAACACGAAAAATTATTAGGAATTCGAAAAAAAGTTATTTATAAATTGTAACTTACGAACGTCAACATCTGGTCGTTCTTTTAGACCGAAAGATCTGGCTACGGCATCAACATCCATTGTTATTAAATTAAATATATGTTTTAGTTTCTTTACTTCAAACGCCCTCATGTAGCCTTGAAAAGCTTCCACAGCTAACTCGTGAAACTGTGGGTCTGACATAGCAGCATCAAGCTGGAATTTGCAAACAACCTTATTAGGTAAATACTTAAATTTTTTGTATAATAAGATGACTTTAGTGATCAGATGATCAGTGAAGTGTATAAATATCGTACCTTAGGCTGTAAATTAGCAAACTTATCCCACGACTCATATTTATCTAAATATATTTTAGATTCTTTCAAATACGAAACAAATTCAATTTCGTCTGGTCGCAACAAAATAACAGCATTTCCTTCTGCTCCCATGCCTCTAGCAGTTCTGCCTACCCTATGAATGTACTCCTGTAATCATTGAAATACAGTTTTAGATGATCTTAATAAAATTAGAACATAAACATTCATATCACACTCATACAATCATTATTTTACTTAGAACAATAAAAAATATAATGTGGGTAAGTATCATAATAGATGGCGCTCTGTAGTTTTCTGCCTACCAACATGGGACAAAGACAGGAGTTTCTGGATGTACGTAAATTCTATGTAAAATATGTATAAATATTGTCCCCGTAATATAATATCCTATTATACGATAAAAATTTAATAATAGCTATGTTAAACGCAACTTACATTTGCGTCAGATGGTGGATCGAATTGTACTATCCAATCAACGGCCGGTATATCCAACCCTCTAGCTGCTAAATCTGTGCAAAATAATGCTACTTTTTCAGCATTGTAGAAATTCGTTATTACATCTGTTCTATCTGCTTGACTCATTTTACCCTGCAAGATAAATCAGAAGTTTATAATCTTACTAATATCTATACCTACATATAATAAAATTGTAGAAAAGTGCTGTCTGTACATTGAAAATAAAAATAAAAAAAATAGCAGGGGTTATTGTTATGTCGATGTCGAACCCAAAAATGTAATTAACTTTTTTTTTGTCTGTTTGTCTGTTCACGCTAATCTCAGAAACGGCTGATCCGAGTTGGATGCGGTTTTCACGAATATATTGTGGTATGCTTCAGTTATGCTTTAGTGTTTGTTTCATGTCAATCGGTTCATAAATAAAAAAGTTATGTCAAATTAAAGAATCACGTCGAACACTATTCTATGCTTATACATACAAAATGACTGTGATTATGATCCAAAATAAAAATAAGTATATATTAAAAAAAACGCTGCTCATAGTCACTGTTCCACGCGAACGAAGTCGCGGGCACAGCTAGTATTATAAATATAAACGTTTGTGTGTAGGTGTGTCACTCGATCACGTCATAACGATTGAAGGGATTGGGATGAAGTTTGGAACCAGGACCGATTATGGTCTGGATTATTAACATAGAAACTATTACAGCATAAAAGTACACACAGATATGCATGTATATTTTCCAATAGCATAGATTAGTGTCTGTGATTCATGATTACAAGTTGCATTGATATTTTCAAATATAATTCTAATGCATACTTTCGTATACTTACATGAATACACGAAACGGAAGCTTCACAGTACTTGCTGAAAAATTCATGGTGAAACTCAACTGACTTGCAGCTTGAAAAGAACACCATTACTTTAAAGTTGCGAGTTTTCTTCAGTAATTTATGTAACCACCATAGTCTATACTCTGTTTCACATACAGCATACCTGAAATTATACAAATCAACATAATGTAATACCATAAAATACGCCTTTTAACACTAAAGGGATGTAAATATTCTAACATTAGATACACTTACCCTTGCTTCAGCCCTTCAACAGTAGCCATGAGATTATCCTCATCGGTATTTATATTGTGAACCTTTTCCTTCATCGCAGATTTAATTAAAGCATCGGTTCTTTCTGATTGGGTAGCACTAAATAACATGGTCTGTCTGTGTTCTGAAAATAGAGGTAAATTTTATCTTTATTGTAACATAAACCAAGACTACATTAACCTGTTAAAAATCAAAAAATTGGAAATAAGGTCTAAAATGTAGTAAGTGGAGAGCGGTCACCGATGACCACTTGGGGATAAAAGGGTTAAATATGAATACAACACAAAACAAACAAACAAACAAAATGTTTGCAAGCAACACATTCACCATTTCACATTTACATATAAAACATACTTGGCAATCGGTCAATAATTTGCTTCAAATCCTCTTCAAAACCATACTGAAATATTTTGTCTGCTTCATCCAGTACTAGGCAACATACATTTCTATAATCAAACTCTTTTGTTCTCATATGATCAAATAACCGGCCAGGTGTCGCCACCACAATGTGTACTCCTAAAAGAAATAATTACAATATTATTGCCGTCATCACACCTATTTTATTGTGGTTAGATAATAACTATGTAACACTAGCATTGGTAATTTAGGACCTAATAAGTTTAAAAAAATGTTATAATTTCATAAACCGCATATTGCTATTACAAACCTGTAGCTAGCTCTGCACTTTGTTTCTTTCTACTTTCTCCCCCAATAACTAGAGCTGATGTGATAGTTTCATGGTGTAACAGAATTTCTTGCAACACAGTGTAGGTCTGTATAGCCAGTTCCCTAGTTGGTGATATGACTATACAGCATGTACCTGTAATGAAAACTTATCAATCACAATTGGCAGACTGGTAGGAGATTGTACGTAAATAGGTTCCGATTTATCAGAGTGATTTGACTACCTCGTTGGCCATGTGATGACAAGTGACTGCCAGGCAAGGTCCCAGGTTTGATTTTTTTTTAAATCTCCGTAGTAAAACGGAGTGTGGAATTGTGCCAAGTATATGGCACACCCCCTATTACATGAGACTTATAACATAAATATTGAAAAGTGGGTGTTACATTGTACAGTGGCAATAAGTGCTGTAATGTGCACCTCTGCTTACCCTTTCTGGGAAAAAAGGCGTGATGTTATGCTGCTGCCTGGTCTGTGACATGTGTAGTCAGATTTTACGTCAGACGCAGAAAGTGGAGTGGTAAGACAAATTAATTCTACTCTCCCACCAGCTTTAAAATAAACTTATTATATTATTCAATGAATTGTTGAAAACAATCGTACCCATTTATTTATTTGATTTATTTATTTGAAACTACCATTAATGATTACCTTGAATCTGTTTTTCCTTACACTTGATAACAGTTTCTACAGCTGGAATTAAAAAGGCCAATGTTTTTCCGGAGCCTGTCTTAGCTGTGGCTACTACATCTGCCCCATCTAAAGCTTCAGGTAAAACCTCAGCTTGAATATCAGTCATTATTTTAAAGCCCATCGCTTTTACTGCTTGCAGGGTTGCTGCAGAGACTTGATCTTTCAAATACTTGAATTTCTTTCTTGGATTCACTTTTTCCTCTGAATCCATGGCTGATTCCAAAAACGTGCCTTAAATTTTTAAATGAATGTAAATAAGAGTGTTGAATAATTCATAACAAAACTCTTTCAGCTTCAAAACAACAAAATATTCAGTACAAATTACTACAACATGTGAGAGAAAATGTCAAACTTTGATATCATACATATGTCAAAAGCCAAAAGAACCAACCCACTGATATGATAGAACCACAGCCACAGACACAGATACTTTAAAAAAAATCATAGAGTAATACAGTATGGTGATCTATGGCTATCGTTTTTGACGTTTGTCAACTTATAGGGATGGGCAAATAAAAATTATCGATCATCATCGTCTTTATAACACGGTCGCATCGTTATCCCAGTTGTTTCCTTTTGGCTACCGGGGACAATGTTACTGCTGTTGTTTCTCCTCTACAACTAATTATTATTATTGAACGACAATTCAAGATCCAAATGATATTTTTTGTATTTGTATGATACGATTAAAAAACAATCGATATTTAATATATCAATACTTGTTTTCTCAACCCTATTACCTCAACAAAATTATCAACAAAACATTCTTCTGTCAGTGTCACCACCACATGGCATGGTACAAAGCAAGGTGCGGAACGTAACCCAACAACCCTCTGCGTTGATTTATTTTCTGTTTCTCTCCATTCGTTGACGGAACTCTGTAGGAGTGTAACCTGTGTGTATGTTTGTAAAGTCAATTTTAACTAATAGTTAAAATAAACCGTGTTCAATATGCCTACACCCGACCAAATTTTAATGAGGAAGATAAAAAAGCGAGAGAAGAAGAAGTTACAGCTTATTAATGCGAAAATTAACGGGGATACTGAAGACCATGCAGGTATTTACTAATATTTATGTTCTGTCTTATGCAGCATGTAACGTAATTAACGCACACCCTCAAACACCCCAATTAGAATATTATGTTATAATCATAATAGGTACATACATACTAAAATTTTTAATTTAACATGTATATGCATCCTTACTGGTCTTGTCATAAGGTTTATTTTTCTTTATTTTGTATTGAATGATAGAATTTGTATGAATACAAATAAAACTAATATTAGAAGTCTTATTGCTTTGAATTACGGTCCATTTCGATTTGTTTTAACAATACAGGGTTAATATGACAATAATTTCCGTAGTTTTAATTATTTTTGGGATAAAAAATTACCTAAACTAAAAATTATATAAATTGATTCAGTTAACGATTCTGAACAAACTATTTTCAGGATATGCGTAATTTAAGTTACATGTTGTATTTAAATATATTTGTGTTATTCTACTTTTATACCAGATCCATAAACCAACAAGTAACTTCTAAACAACCTAATTTATGAAAGTGTGTTATTGTTTTTAATATCATTTCAGAACCTGAACCAACCATAGAAAGGGAAGCAATAAAAAGACCAAACAATGAAAATGAAAATGCAGTACCCAAAAGTAAGTGTTTTATGTGACAACTTCACAAAAATATATCATGAATCTTTAGATTGTGCCTGAAAATTTAAAATGTAATGTGTATCAACTTGTATGTTTGTAAACATACCCACGACACAGGAGAAAATCCTAGTATGAGGCAACATTTTTTTTCAAAAAAGAAAAGATTAGCTTATTTTGCCTTTCATATACAACTTGGTTGTATAAACTTAACATAACTTCGTCACGCCTTTTATCCCCGAAGGCCGAAGGGGTAAGCATAGGTGTTCATTACACCACTGTACAATGTAACACCCACTTTTCACTATTTATGTCATGAGTCCCATGTAATAGGGGGTGAGTCTATTGCCATATACCGGGCACAACTCCAGACTCCGTGCTACTACTGAGAATTTAAAAATTGTATAAACTTACAAGATCTTAATCTGTCAAACACCAAGCGGTCACCGGTGACCGCGACCTATTGTTCTTTAATTGTGTCTATAAAACCGGTACTCGACGAGTTAATATAGTATCAGGCTCAACCTAACTGCAATATGTGACAGTTTCTTTAAAAATACCCTTTATTTTTCAGAGAAGAAAAAGAAGGTGAAACAAGAAATACAACCAGAACAACCAGACAACAATGAAGCTGAAGATGAGGAAAGGGGCAGTAGTGACGAAAGTAACGCAGACAGTCAACACAGCATTGAAAATGATGCTGGTAAAGAAAATCAATGTAAGTATGATGATTAAATAACATAACATAACATCACGCCTTTTATCCCCGAAGGAAGAAATTTTTTATTACCGAGTCTGCCTATTGGCAAGGCAGTGTTATGATGATTAATATCAACATTGTTCTTATCTTATTGATTTCTAAACCTATTTAGTGTTGAATTATAAAAAAATGCATTTTCATTGTTACCCACTACTGAAATAAAATAAATTAGCTATTTTTCATTGTTGTTTTTTATGGTTCAGTTACTCAGTTGGCTTAGAAACTCAAACATTACAAGGCAACTCTACATTCTCTGGCTCTTAAATTTAATTTACATCTATATCTATACTAATATTATAAAGAGGAAAGATTTGTATTTTTGTATGTTTGTAATGAATAAACTCAAAAACTACTGAACCGATTGCAATAATTTTTTCACCATTCGAAAGCTGCATTATTCAGAAGTAACATAGGCTATATAATATCACGCTAGGTCCTATAGTTGTGGAGCAGTAACCAAAAATGTTTTAAAAACGGGGGAAAAGTATCGTTTCTGAGGCCTTCCGTGGCGTGCGCTGAGCATATAGTTAAAGTTATACAAAAATGTTCTATAGATGAATTTTTTATCTTAACATTATTTTTAAAAAAGTCCGCGAGAGCATATGTCTACCTTTTATAGTTTACCCATAACAATCGTTTTAATGAATGGTTCAATCCTTATAAAAGTTTGCTCTAGATAACTTTTGAATTGTTCAATCGGTTACCTTAAGACGCGACATCGACAACGGAGGGCAGGTCGCTAAAAAAAAACTGAGAATAAATATAAATAAAACGTAAAACTATGTAAAAAATCTTAAGTCCCCCCGTGCGAAGCCAGGACGGGCCGCTAGTACTTTATATTTATATTATGTTAACCCATTTTACTAAGATTAAATATTGTTTTTTTTTTCTTTTTACAGTGCCAATTTCCAGCCTAAGGCCCGGTATATTATCCAATAAAAAATTCTCTGACTTAGAAGGCAAGATTAGTGAACAAACTCTCAAGAGCCTTAAAGACATGGGATTCACTACTATGACAGAGGTTCAAGCCAAAACTATCCCTCTACTACTTGATTTACATGATGTTGTGTGTTCTGCGAGGACAGGATCGGGCAAAACTCTAGCTTTCTTAATCCCAGTTGTAGAACTTCTCTATAAACTTAAATTTAAACCTAGAAATTCTACTGGTGCAATTATTCTTTCACCAACGAGAGAATTGGCTATGCAGACATATGGACAGTTAATGGGACTGATGAAATATCATAGTCAGACTTATGGTTTGGTGATGGGAGGTGCTAACAGAAAGAAAGAGGCGAGAAAACTATTTGGTATTAACATATTGGTGGCAACACCGGGTCGATTGTTAGATCATATGAAAAACACACCCAACTTTTACTACAACAAAGCATTTTGTGTTGTGGTTGATGAAGTTGACAGAATGTTGGAGATGGGCTTTGCAGCAGAAATTACACAAATCCTCAGTCGTCTACCATCGGAACACCAAACAATTTTTGTGAGCGCCACTCAAAGTAAGCAATTAGAGGTCATATACCGTACCATACCATCTGCCTTTCCAAAGACCACGCCACTTTATATAGGAGTTGATGACCATAAAGAACAAGCAACTGTAGAGTCTTTACAACAAGGTTTTGTAATATGCCCGTTAGAAAAACGCTTGTTGATACTATACTCATTTCTAAAGAGAACCCCAGAGAAGAAAATCATGGTGTTTTTCTCCACATGTAGTTCTGTCGAATATCATTATAAGCTGTTTAACTATATAGATCTACCAGTTATGTCTATACATGTAAGTATCTGAAAAAATTCATTTAAAATTTACTTTTAATATTAATTATTAGAGTTTATTTTTGTTTATTTCTATTTGTATTTCTTAGGGAAAACAAGAGCAAGCAATACGTACAACAACTTTCTTCCAATTCTGTAATGCTGAATCCGGAATACTGCTATGTACAGACGTGGCTGCTAGAGGAATAGATATACCCGCCGTCGACTGGATTGTGCAGTATGATCCTCCAGATGACCCTAAGGTATGGTGACCTCTTTATTGTATTTAAAAATATTGACTTTGCCTAGGGATATTATTCTAGTTTGTAATTAATTTTATTTCAATAATAATTTGGCAAAGTACAGTTGCATATAGAGTTAGAAGGAGAGTGTAGACACATGCGTGGTATACCTATCATCGCAAAAACAAGTTCTGCAAGTTTTCTAGGATATTTATAAATTGGTGGTTCTTGTTATCTTCCGATGACATATCTATACTGTCATTATATTAAGCACTGAGTAAATTATCTTTTTTTTTCAGGACTACATTCATCGCGTAGGTAGAACGGCACGTGGCCTCAGAGCAAATGGGCATGCGTTGTTGTTGCTCCGTCCTGAAGAGTTTAACTTCCTCTACCATTTGAAACGGGCCAAAGTTGTATTGAATGAATTTGTATTTTCTTTGGACAAAGTTTTCGATATTCAAGAGCCGGTTAGTAACTTACAAGAATTATTAAACTTACTTAGTATATCTGTTAGATTTTTACCACATGAACAGTCAATGTCGCATAAAAATAATGCGAAATTAACCCGAGTCCGTACTTTGTTTTACGTTAAAAATTATCGAAACAAGACATTATTCGCCGCTCTGGTTGGTTAATTTTTTTTGAGCCGGCCATTCAGAGCGTCGAATGCATATTTGTTTCGAATACTTTAAACACACCTAAACTAACTCGAACTTTTTACTTTCCGAAGGTACCTACAAATATTGAAAACTAGCTTCTGCCCGCGACTTCGTACGCGTAATCCCATTTTTTCCCGTCCCCGTTCGTGATTTTCGGTAAAAAGTAAAAAAAAAATGTTGGTTAAAAAGTATCCTATGTCGGTCTCCTGGCTCTAAGCTACCTCCCTACCAATTTTCAGCCAAATCTATTCTGCCGTTCTTGAGTTATAAGTGGTGTAACTAACACAACTTTCTTTTATATATATAGATAACTCCTGTATTTATCACTATGCATATTTATCTAATTTTTTTTTCATGTTTCAGCTAGAGAAACTGATATTAAGAAACGCTACCCTAAACCGGTTAGCCAAAGACGCGTACACGACTTATGTAAGGGCATATGATTCTCATCATTTGAAGAATATATTCGATATCCAGTCTTTGGATTTAAACGCGGCCGCAAAATCCTTTGGTTTCGCAGTTCGACCATATGTTGACCTAAAAGTCGCTAGCCTAAAACCTAAAAAACAAAAACAAGACCGTAAACATGGACACTCCAAATCCCGCAATGCACAATCAAACTTTAAACAGAGAGCAGAAAATCAGTCAAGCAGAAATAAATTTAAGAGACAACAAAATAAAAGTCAATAATAGAAAAATATTAGGATATGTAAATAAAATAAATTTATTTTAATATCATTTTATTTTGTTTTACTATTTTAATTTCCTCCCCCCCCCCCCCTCCCTTTTAAACCCTAGTACAGGTATGTATGTTGATAATGTTTAAAAAAATGTTTGTGTAACGGAGTGGTGGTTTTTAGTCAGTAATGCCTAAAATAATAGCGCAGTCAGTTGTGTGAACTGGGAATACATATGAGTGAGACTCCAACTCGCCACGCCCAGAGCGGGAGAAGCAGTTTGATGATATACGCCAGTAAAAAAAGGGGGTTGCAAACAAATCACACATATGACATCATTAGCCTATAAGTACCCACTGCTGAGCAAAGACGTCTTTTCATATACGGGCCCGTATATCCCCAAGCGGTCACCGATGACCGCTCTCCACTAACTACATTATAGACCTTATTTCCAATGTTTAGAGACTACTTTTGTATGAATATAAAGTATAAAGTTTAAATCGAATTAACTTGAGACCCTTGAGACTATCTACCTGCAAGATTCAAGGTGAAGTGAGACATTAGTTTTATCATATCCGCCACAAGACTTCCACTGCTAAATGTAGGCCTTCTACCCAATGACAGTCGCTTACATTATGAATTTGCATTTTCGTAGGCACCTAAGAAATGAAAAAGATTGTGAGGCATACTCTTTAAAACTCTATAGGTGCATCATGCTTGCTGAATTAACAGGATCATTCCTAATTGCCTTTTGCGCTGCGACGCACCATAGGTTATTTTTTGGGTTTCTAAATTCTTGTTGTGTGTCGTAGCAAAATAAATGGTTTTTCTTTCTTTCTTTCTTTCTAATAATACAAAGTGTAATAGTCACTTGAGTAGCGAGCAGTATTTTTAGATTTTTGTTTTTTGTAAATAAACAACCACATGAGAGCACATTGACATTTTTCAGTTAACTGTCATCTGTCATTTGTAATAGATATTTTGCTTACGGTGGCTCTACACTTGACGTTGCGTATTTGTTGTGTTCGGCCAAAAAAGAACATGTTTGGAGGATTTATTCTTCTTTGTTTGCTATATATTTGCACGCCATTACATATAGAGATACTATTTGGACGCCATTTGTACGAAGTCTACAAATATTTGGACAAATGAAGCGACTACGCAATGTCAAGTGTGGTACCACCTTAACATACCTTTTGCACATTTTCAAAGTGAAATAACTTTTGAACCCCAAGTTCTAAAAATATGTAATTTTTTTCTAAACTTCATAATAAAAATATCTATCGTTCAGACTATTCACTTGGTTAAAACAATGACTAATACAAAATTTTATAGCGGTACAAAACTTCCATACAAACCTGCCATTCTCCTAGGGGATGATTTTCAACGGGTTAACTATCAAATTATGAATCGAGCCGTACACTACACATTATAACAATTATTGACAACTAACTTCGGCCAACGGCTTCGCCCGCGATCCCGGAGTAAAATGCCTATGTATTACTTCAGACCATAGGTATTTTACCTCTGTTCCGAATTTATTCTGGTCCCTATTATAATCGTTTCAATATGACTGAATTATTAGAGTATTTCTTGTATAAGTTTGGTGTTTCTATACAGATTTCAATGATTCTTTTTTATTGAATAGCTAGTAATGATAACTTTTTATGGATGAGTGAGAATATTATGAACTTAAGAGTAAACAAATATAATCAGAGAGCTCCGAACTTTGAATGAACTCGAGTTACACGTGTTATTGTGAGTAAACCATAAAAGATAGACATATGCGTTGCAGGATATTTTATACATAATTTTATGTAGGATATTTTCGTTGTACATGATTTCTATGCAGCTTTAACCATTAAGGCTGTACACGCGACGAAAGCTTAAAAAATGGAAAAGTTTTCCGTTTTCCCAACATTTCCCTTCACTGCTCTGCTACTATTGATTGTAGCGTGATGGAATGTATACTATAACACCTCTCCAGGAGTATAAAGGATAATTGTACCTTATATCATTAAAATCCGTCGAGTAGTTTTTGTTTCTATAAGGAAAATACAGACAGGCAAACAAAATTTCACTGATTGAAATTTTGGCATTAGTATCGATCAATAGTAGTTATTTTGGAAATATATTTCATGTACAGAATTGACCTCTAAAGATTTATTATAAGTACCTTTACGATGGAATATGTATCAAGTTATTTCAAGAATGTTAATTCTGCTATTCATGAATGCTTTTTAAATATTTTTTAAATTTAGCGCTCTTTTTATACCGATTCTTCTCTTAATAATTTCACATGAGTAACCCTTTTTACCCGACTGCCAAAGAAGGAGGGTAATGTTTTTCGAGTGTATGTAAGTATGTATGTATGTCTTTTCCTTTGTGACCACCTGTAGCCTAAACGGCTTGATGGATTTTGATGTATGAGGTATCGTTAGATTTGTCTTGATTACGGGAGTGTCATAGGATACATTTTATCCTAAAAGTCCCACGGGATAAAGACATAATAATATTTTTTCTAAATTTCCCTTTAAAAAAATATGTATGCGGTATCATTAGATTCATTTCAATCACGGGAGTAATTAATATAGGATACGTTTTTTCTCAAAATTCCCACGGGAACATGTTAATTCTGCGTCAACGCAAAGCAACTCATGCGTTAGCAAGCAAAAAGATAGGGCGTGGCCTGGCATGCGGCGCGCGGCGCGGTGTGGAGGGGGATATGCTCGAGTATACAGCCCGATTGCGGGCACACGCATGAGGGCACACGTCGTTGACGGTCGTCTCTAAATAGCGATTTTTTCGATATATCCCTATTTGTATATATCGAAATAAAAACAGCTAAAAAGTTATAAATAAAAAAATTATTATTAAAAAAACAAAATACCCGACTGCACACTAAAAAAAGAGTAAAACAAGCCCCACAATAATATTGATCAATCAAATGCTAAAAACTAATTATGTAATACCGTTTTTCGTGTAGGACCGTTTTGAGAGCACGCGCGGCGGATCGATCGACACGAACACTCGCTGCCTCTCGCGCGCTCCTGCGTCGACTCTCTCAAGTAACGGTCGTTCCGTCGTTCGGCACCGCGCCGCCGAATGTCATGGCGCGTTTTCTCTATACTTCTGTCCCGCTCTTACGCCTCCAGTGCGTAGTCTCGGAAACGAGCGGGAATGCAGGCGTGGCGGCGTCCGGAAGCCCGTGGGCCAATTCGGCTTGCGACACGTTTAAACAATACCTATATTAAAATACACTACAATATGTGTTCGTAATCGATAGTTAAATAAACAGAAACTTATTTTGAATACAAATTTACTGAATATAATTTATAAATGTTGATGGAAAGCATCGCAGGCGGGGACCACCTTGACCGCCACCAACGAAAAATCTGCTAAATGGTGCACAACCGAAATGACTATAAATAAGCCTCTGTTGGTCCCCGCCTGCGATGCATTCCATCAACATTTATAAATTATATTCAGTAAATTTGTATTCAAAATAAGTTTCTGTTTATTTAACTATCGATTACGAACACATATTGTAGTGTATTTTAATATAGGTATTGTTTAAACGGTATTACATAATTAGTTTTTAGCATTTGATTGATCAATATTATTGTGGGGCTTGTTTTACTCTTTTTTTAGTGTGCAGTCGGGTATTTTTAATTTAGTACGTCTCACGATAGTTATTAGTAAGACATACCTACTGATTCTTATTTTAGTACTTCGTTTAATAGACTATACGTAATTTAATAAATAATCATTCTAGGAGGTACATATTTATTAATAATAGCCACATATTAATTTATTTTTTTATTAAATAACAGAAAAGTATCAAACCAGCCTATCGAACAAGGTATAAGCAACTAAAACTTTTTTACTGACAGAACGTGACAACTAAAGTATTTATACTCTGTGGCCTGCAAACGAAGTTGACATTTCATTGATTTGACGTTGACGTATTGACGTATTTCAAAACGTGCGTGCGGTTCGTGTGTCTTGTATTTATGTGAATTTATGAAATCAATTACTAATTGATACAAATCGTGTTCAATATGCCTACACCTGAACAAGTTCTTAAGAAAAAGAATAAAAAGCGTGAAAAGAAAAAATTAAAGCTAAATAATAAGAACCAAAATGGTATTACGGAAGACAAAGCAGGTAACATAACCTCTTTAAACTCACATACTCACATTGAAATGTTATTTTCCCATACTTTTTATCATTATCTTATTTTTGAGCCTAATCTATTATATATTAATGTCCTAATTATACTTACTGCCTATTTATATTATTTGCAATGTTTCTGTAAAGATAATTAATATGAAATCTGTAAAATAATAAAATAACATGTGTTACAATTTTTTATGCAATGGTGCTATATGTAATAATTATTCGGTGAAGGATCCAGATTACATCGGCTATCAAATCCATAATCCCTAAAATAAATCTAGTGCTTTACATGTGTAATTTTTTCTTTTGTAGTTTATTAATTTTACAGAATTTTTACTATGGTGAAATGTGGTGAATAGAATTCGAAATAGATACTGGAGTGGGGTGCATAATTGCATTAAAATTTTCTAACATGTATTCACCCTTCTTTTTTCTCTATTCACCCTGCTTTACCCTGCATCACGTTTCTTTATCATTTCTGGATTTGCAGATATTTGAATACCTTATTTTGGGTAATCTAGTACCTCTAGATTACCAGTATTTTTATGTAGATAGACTTTTCTTATTTGAGTTTGTTACTTCCATTTCAGAAGCTGAAACTAACACAGAAAAGACAGTAAAGAAAAGGCCACATGATGATGAAAACGAAAAAACAATACCCAAAAGTAAGTGTTCATTGTGGAATATAACATAATATCACACGGTCCCCAACTGGGACAGGGGTGCACAATATACAGCATTTTATGTCACTATACAATATAACGTAACCCACTTTATTATGTTATGTGTCCCATGTAATAGGGGGTGAGTTTATTGCCAAATACTGGGGACAATTCCAGACATTGTGCTACTTTTGAGAAATTTTTGAAATAAAAATTTTTACTTTGCCCAACTTGGTAATAGAACCCGAGACTCCTTGCCTGGCAGTCGCAAATGCGACCACTCGGGCAATAAGGCAGTGGTTGACTGAGTGAATTCATGGTTATTTAACATTTTTTTTAATTACATTGCAATGTATTTACAGTAGTGTAGTCTGTGTTCCTATTCTAATTAAAAAAAACAACTGCTATAATATCAACTAAGTAGTTTTAAGGTGTTATGACTTTTTAATTTTAAGTAATTGTCATTAATGTTGTAGAAAAGAAAAAGAAGGTGAAGCAAGAAGCAAAACCGGAACCAAAACCTGAACCTGTGGAAGAAGAAAGTGACGAAGATAACAGTGACACCGAAAATGTAGAGGATAAAATTGAGAACAGTGCTGAAAGTAAGAATCATGCATTATCTACTCCTACTACCTACACTAGCTACTCCCGTGATCTCCTCCTATTGATCCTAGCATGATGTTTTTTGACCTATAGCATTCCTCAATAAATGCACTGGGGTTACTTTTGAAACCAATCTCAATGTCAATGGTATTTCAATCCAATAAAATCTCAATAGTTATTCAATATCAAAACTATACAACCCCAATTTTAGCTGATAAAATAGCATCATCTGTGTTTTATGGGCTGCTGTGCATTTGTTTCTTTCCACTTGCTTTCTTCTAATCCATATGCAAGCATCATTTGATGGGTGTTGTGTAACTGTACAACATTATGTTTGACAATGCACAAATTAGTTATATTGGAGTTGTTGTTGACATCTTTAGGTATTCTATCACATATAAAATCTACTATTATATAAAAAAATATTTACTTGTGTAACATTTTATTAACTATTTATTTCACATATTACAGTGCCAGGTTCCAGTCTATGCCTTGGTATATTATCGGAACAAAAATTCTCTGCGCTAGAAGAAAAAGTTTGTGAAGCAACTCTCATGGGTGTCAAAGAAATGGGCTTCACTACAATGACAGAGATTCAAGCTAAGGCAATCCCCCCACTACTTGAAGGCAGGGACCTAGTGGGTGCTGCTAAGACGGGATCTGGCAAAACCTTAGCCTTTTTAATACCAGCTATAGAACTTATCTATAAGTTGAAATTCAAGCCTAGAAATGGTAAGTTATTTCGACATAATAAATTATTACTCATACTCTATTTCATTTGGGAATGATGAAAACATTTATACTTAGTTTTAACACAAATTCATCATCATTGCAACTTAGTAACTTTAAATAATAAAAGTCCCAGTACCCTCCCTAAGATTGAATATAATACTAGTTTTATCACCCTTTCTCATGTAATTTAATGATGATACAAAGGCGAATGTGAAAACTGACTGCCATAACTCTAAGACATTTGTAAACATCAACACAAGAGTAGTGTGAGTCTCCGGTGAATAACTGTCGAGGCACCTTTTGTGTTGTTGTCCATCATTTGCTGCGGAGTTCGATAACAGTTGTTTTATGAACACAGAATGGATATCTGACCTTTTAAGTACTATGTGTTCTAAGTGAAATTTACTTGCAAAAAAGCTAAAAACTTTTTGTTTCCTTTAGGTACTGGTGTGATCATTCTATCACCAACAAGAGAATTGGCGATGCAGACATTTGGAGTGTTAATGGAATTGATGAAGTATCATCATCATACTTATGGTTTGGTGATGGGAGGTGCTAATAGAAGTACAGAAGCCCAAAAACTGTCTAAAGGTAAGATTGACCCTCATTGTCTTATTATCTTTTGTGTAATTTATTGGTGGTTGTTACAGATTTATTTAATTTTTGTTAACAATGTTTGTTATGTTAGTGGATTAATGGTTAAACAATATAGTGTTGGAGCCATTCCTTAATAAATTAGTGATGTTCATACATGTAACAATGTTCACATATTTATATTTTAGGTATCAACATATTAGTAGCAACACCTGGCCGATTATTGGATCATTTGCAGAACACACCAGACTTTTTGTACAAAAACCTGCAATGCCTTGTGATTGATGAAGCTGACAGGATACTGGAGATTGGTTTCGAAGAAGAAGTTAAACAGATCATTAGACTGTTGCCAAGTAAGTAATAGAGAAGATTGTTGAATAATGCTTTTTCTGTTTTCATGTTTCTATTATGCTAATAAATGTTGTTAGTTGGTTTATAGTAAAATTGTTTTCTATATCGTTTTTAGCTTTAAATGAAGTAAACTAATAAGTAAAGAAGAACTTCTGCCCGCGACTTCGTACGCGCAATCCCGTTTTCTCCCGTTCCCTTAAGTCAGCATTTTTTTCTACCATAAGAACCTTCTGACAATAACAAACACAACAAAAAGAAAATCAGCCAAATCGGTCCAGCCATCCATTTTTATATATATAGATAATTAAAGTTCTGTTCTTGACGAAAATTATATAATTGCAAACTAATATGAAATGTTTTCTTTTCAGAACGTCGCCAAACAATGTTGTTTAGCGCTACGCAAACTAAAAAAACAGAATCTTTAACAGCATTAGCAGTGAAACAAGAACCAGTTTACGTTGGAGTTGATGACCACAAAGAACAAGCCACTGTTGAATCTTTAGAACAAGGGTATGTTAAGTATATGTGTGTAATAATAATAACAGAAATTACCGTTTCTGTTATTAGTCTAACTAACTTTATACATCTTTTTTCACAGGTACATAGTATGCCCGTCAGATAAACGCATGATGGTTCTATTTACATTCTTAAAGAAGAACAGAAAGAAGAAAGTAATGGTGTTCTTTTCTACATGTATGTCTGTGAAATATCATCATGAGCTCTTCAACTATATTGATTTGCCTGTCTTGTCTATACATGTAAGTATCTACTATGGCTATAACACTAGTTTAAGATAACCATAAAAATACATTAAACTGTCAAACACCGCGAGGACACCGGTGACCGCAATCTATTGTTCTTTAATTGTGTCTATAATGCCGGTACTCAATGGGTTAAGGGGTGATTTTTAAATAAACCTATATTTCTAACCTAGTTGAAATTTATCTGGCGTTGGAGAAATCGACCCTTAATATAGAACAGTAGCATTTAGAGTAAACTAGTAAAACTCGATTGGATCACAGACAAAGTCTCTTAGCATGACTACATATTTTTTGACACATAAGAAAATAGTACATCAAAAGTTATGCAGTCATGGAAACAGCTAACGAAACAGGCTTTTGATAATATTTTGCTAGTTCTATGTTTAATACACTAGCTAGCCTACTCTCAACTTTTTTTTACTAATTTAATTAATTTCTATCAATATTCGTTTCCCAGGGAAAACAACAGCAAACAAAACGTACGACGACTTTCTTCCAATTCTGTAATGCTGAGTCCGGAATACTGCTATGTACAGACGTGGCTGCTAGAGGATTAGATATACCCGCCGTCGACTGGATTGTGCAGTATGATCCTCCAGATGACCCTAAGGTACAATTGCTTCTATTTATTACCATATATCAATTGCTCGGTGCAGTAGCCCAGATTTTGACTGTGACAATATTGTAATGATTTTGTAAGTGCTGTAGTGATAGTGCTAGAAATAGAACTAAATAAACTGACAAATATGAGAAACTATCTTAACTAAAAATCGCGGGTTACTCACGTGAATATACTGAGAAAAGCTCTACTAGTTTCGGACCACAGAGGGGTTCTTGCTCAAAAGCAGCGCACGTGGTCTTGGCGGTGTAGGCTCCGCGACATGGCCGCGACCGCGCACGTTGCTTTAGTTAATGTCTGTCAATAATTATTATAAAATCTATCTTCTCCTCTACTGCTAGACATCCGTTTTGACTGTACGGTTGGGGCTGTAACTGGGCAACCAACTACTGCGAAAAGTGTCTGTTGGTTAAATTCCAACACGTAACAACATGTTTTGGATATTGGTCTGATAATATGTTTGAAAAAAACCAATTTTCGGATTATGACAAACCTCTTAACATAAGCAAACTGAAAACCAGGGCCAACCAGTTTATTTCTGTGATTACTAATCTAATAAAAAACCTTTTTCCAGGAATACATTCATCGTGTAGGTAGAACGGCGCGAGGACTTGGAACGAGCGGTCATGCATTGTTGTTCCTCCGCCCCGAAGAGCTTGGCTTCCTCCGGTACTTGAAGCAGTCAAGAGTCACACTCAACGAGTTTGAGTTTTCTTGGAGTAAGGTCGCCGATATTCAATTGCAGGTTAGTAATCTACGACGATAAAAAATTCAACACTGAAATAATAATAAAAATATGTAAAGTATTATAAACATCATCCTCCATTGCCATTGATGAGTCGCGGAGAACCTCCGTTAGGTTCCGGTAACCGGGGCTCCGGCTCGACGAGCAAGAGAAGGAACGGGGTGGTTTTTACTCAGTAAGAGTCTGACACTCCCTCCCGCCTCACCTTGGTGGGAGCAGTAATTCGATGATTTTCCCCCCTTAAAAAAAAATTGCCATTGATGAATGTAAAAGATGATAAAGCGAAATGGTTTTTGTCAGAATCGAGTCATTTGGCTTTCCAATGTCTCTGCTCTAACGGCAGACATCCGTGACGATAACATGTATCAGTATCTGAAAAACCTATCTGTTAGTATTGAATTCATATCTTTTTGTATTGTTTCAGCTGGAAAAACTAATATCTAAAAACTATTTCCTGAACCAGTCCGCTAAGGAAGCATTCAAGAGCTATCTGAGAGCATACGATTCTCATCACTTGAAGACTATATTCGACATTGACACTATCGATTTGGCAAAGGTCTCCAAATCCTTCGGTTTTACAGTGCCACCTGCAGTTGAGCTGAAGGTGGCCAACAAAGGACCTCCTCAAAAGAGGAAAGGAGGTGGTGGATACGGATACTTCAAGTCTTTGAATGCCCCATCAAACTTCAAACAAAAAGCGGACAAAACTAAAATATACAGGCAAAAAGGAAATAATAGAAAAAACGTAGGATAAGTTATTAAATAAATCGATTTTATTTATACATTTGTTTTATTGTAATAAATTACATAATCTAAACATGTAGTCAACAATGTTGTAAACAGTTATCACATTTCGATGCTCTATTTACAATAACCCTACACATATACCTATATGTAGGTACACAAAGTATATCTAGACGTGGATAGAATTTGTAATCTTAAAAGATTACAAATTGTTGATAAACCATTTGTTAGGTAAAAAATCTTGAGAGCTACGTGATTTCTTGATGTGGCTTCTTCCATTCTTCAAAACTTGCGACTTCATTTCTTTTTCGGTACTGGGAAGATACAGTTAAGAAAACAATTATATGTATGTAATTTCTGTTATTACCTTGTTAAATGTTTTGGCGGGAATTTATCTAGAATGTTATCATTTTGGGTGCATTGAGATTAATCTTGAGAGCTACGTGTTTACAAACACATAAAATAATGCAACTCATGTTTACGAGTAAACCACCACGCGATATGCATTGTGTGAATACGTGTCGATTTTTTATTAATATATACACTATAATAAAATACTATAAAGCTGAAGTTTGTTTTTTTGTTTGAACGCGCTAATCTCGGAAACTACCAGTCCGATTATAATAATTATTTTTGTGTTGGATAGAACATTTATCGAGGAAGGTTATAGGTTACAAAACACCAAGCTACGATCATTAGGAGCCGCGGAGAGCGGGTGCAACCGCGCGGAAGTACCTACCTAGTAAGTGTAATAAACGTAGTCTTAACACGTTAACATATCGGTTTGAGATGAGTCTGAGCAAATACGTATTTATTTACAGACTTAACAACTTTTAGATTTATATTATAACTTTCGTGGAGAAATACTAAAATTAATTATTATGTTTTTCGGCTCTTACAAGTTTCAAGCCATGGTAGAACACAGGCTCATAACTATGAGCAGCATTCCGCGACCCGCGACGCGGCCACTGTCGCGCGTGTACGTTTTAGTACGTGAGTTAGTACGTATGTCAGGCTGTTACGTGAGTAAGCCGAATAACAATAATTAACTTTTTGATTACATTCATTCATTTAGTTAGGTACGACTATATACATAGGTCGATGTGGGTATCTGTACTGTAGTTTCGTGATCATTGAATCACAAACAGCACCTATACAATCTACTTCTTTTTGGAAAGGATACAAAAGTCCACGTGAGGCTGTTCCTGAAACCCAAAGGCCTTTGCAGCTAATTTTAAATCCAAAGAGTTGATATCGAATATCTTCTTCAGCGGATGCTTCTTATAACACCTGAGAAATGACAGGTACGCCTTCCTTGCTGATGTCTTCATTACTCCATTATTAGCTATTAAATCTTCTAGCTAAAAAGCAGAAAAAAGATTAATATACCTAGACAAAATTATTAGGGTCAGTAATTCATATTAGCATATTCATAATCAAATGTGACAGCAAATTCACCCGTATCTCCTCAAGATAAAGTACACATTCCTATTTAGATAAAAACAAGACGCACGAATTTATATTCGACAGGATTCGTGTGTCCCCTTACCGACTCGTAGTCACACCAGATTATCACACCAGTATGACAAACAGGATTTTTTTTTCTCGTTTGTCACACCACTTATTTTTCTACACTACCATTTCTATCTACCATTTATTCTTAACTAGTGCTGTCCTAGAGCTAAATTAAAAATCATCAAATTATCAAGTTTTTATTAAATTGATGCCTTTATTTAATTAAATGTGTAACATAAAGTAATAATAAACTAACTATGTATAGTAATAATATGTACAAACAGGTAGTAAAAAAAAACTCATAGGGCGTCAATTATTATAATTAAGTTTATGGCGAAAAGAGAAATCAATTGGTTTGAAAAGTAAACTACATAAAAGAATCCATCCCTATCTATATCAATGGGAAAGGTGCCCAGAACGCTGGCAGCATTGCCACGTTGGATGGCAATGCTGATTCGTTGACAAAAGAAAAGCCCGGCCCTGTGGTCACGCGAAGTCGACGTTTACTGATATCTCGAACAACACGATGAGCGCATGTAATTTCCGATAAGGTTATTATATTTGTGCCGCTGAGGGTTTCTGCACTTGCGGCAGCCGCACCAGCACAACCTGCCGTAGTCAGAAGATGAGATGGCGAAGGGTATCGACACATGTTGCAAACCTTTAAATTAAATTAACTATCGAGTGTCCTCGAAATCTATCACTTTCGGGCGTCCTCGAAATCTATCGAGCGTCCTCGATCACTTTCGAGCGTCCTCGAAATCTATCGGGCGTCCTCGATCACTTTCGAGCGTCCTCGATCACTTTTGAGCGTCTTCGATCACTTTCGAGCGTCCTTGATCACTTTCGAGCGTCCTCGATCACTTTCGAGCGTCCTCGATCACTTTCGAGCGTCCTCGAAATCTATCGAGCGTCCTCGATCACTTTCGAGCGTCCTCAATCACTTTCGAGTATCCTCGAAAACTATCGAGCGTCTTCGATCACTTTCGAGCGTCCTCGAAATCTATCGAGCGTCCTCGAAATCTATCGGGCGTCCTCGATCACTTTCAAGTATCCTCGAAAACTATCGGGCGTCCTCGATCACTTTCGAGCGTCCTCGAAATCTATCGGGCGTCCTCGATCACTTTCGAGCGTCCTCGATCACTTTTGAGCGTCCTCGATTACTTTCGAGCGTCCTCAATCACTTTCGAGTATCCTCGAAAAGTATCGAGCGTCCTCGAAATCTATCGAGCGTCCTCGAAATCGATCGAGCGTCCTCGAAATCTATCGGGCGTCCTCGATCACTTTCGAGCGTCCTCGAAATCGATCGAGCGTCCTCGATCACTTTCGAGCGTCCTCGAAATCTATCGAGCGTCCTCGAAATCGATCGAGCGTCCTCGATCACTTTCGAGCGTCCTCGAAATCTATCGGGCGTCCTCGATCACTTTCGAGCGTCCTCGAAATCGATCGAGCGTCCTCGATCACTTTCGAGCGTCCTCGAAATCTATCGAGCGTCCTCGAAATCGATCGAGCGTCCTCGATCACTTTCGAGCGTCCTCGAAATCTATCGGGCGTCCTCGATCACTTTCGAGCGTCCTCGAAATCTATCGAGCGTCCTCGATCACTTTCGAGCGTCCTCAATCACTTTCGAGTATCCTCGAAAACTATCGAGTATCCTCGAAAACTATCGAGCGTCCTCGATCACTTTCGAGCGTGCTCGAAATCTATCGGGCGTCCTCGATCACTTTCGAGTATCCTCGAAAACTATCGGGCGTCCTCGATCACTTTCGAGCGTCCTCGAAATCGATCGAGCGTCCTCGATCACTTTCGAGCGTCCTCGAAATCTATCGAGCGTCCTCGATCACTTTCGAGCGTCCTCGAAATCTATCGAGCGTCCTCGATCACTTTCGAGCGACCTCGATCACTTTCGAGTATCCTCGAAATCTATCGGGCATCCTCGATCACTTTCGAGCGTCCTCGAAATCTATCGACCGTCCTCGATCACTTTTGAGCGTCCTCGAAATCCATCGAGCGTCCTCGAAATCTATCGAGCGTCCTCGAAATCGATCGAGCGTCCTCGATCACTTTCGAGCGTCCTCGAAATCTATCGAGCATCCTTGATCACTATCGAGCGTCCTCGATCACTTTCGAGTATCCTCTAAAACTATCGAGCGTCCTCGATCACTTCCGAGCGTCCTCGAAATCTATCGAGCGTCCTCGAAATCTATCGAGCGTCCTCAAAAACTATCGAGCGTCCTCGATCATTAACTCAAGCATTGCATTTACAACCGGCCAGTACCTACTAGATAAGGTTGCATTATCATATGAACCACTGGACATCCACATAGAGCTTTAGTACCTATTTATTTAGACGGCCTCGTTGGCCGAGTGGTCGCAAGTGCGACGGGCAAGGGGTCTCGGGTTCGATTCCCGGGTCGGGCAAAGTAGTATGGGGTTTTTAAAAATCTCAGTAGTAGCACGGAGTCTGGACATGTGTCCGGTATATAGCAATAGGCTCACCCCCTATTACATGGGACTCATAATATAAATAGTGAACAAGTAGGTGTTACATTGTATAGTGAGTGCCGCAATGGGCACCTCTGCATACCCCTTTGGGATAAAAGGCGTGATGTTACCTATTTATTAATTAAAAGTAGAAAATATTAAAAACTCGCCAAAGAACGAAAGACGGCAAACGCCGATCGACTTTATTGGAATGTAAAGGTACTGCACTAGTAATTATCGTATACATAGTGTAGAAAAATAAGTGGTGTGACAAACGAGAAAAAAAATCCTGTTTGTCATACTGGTGTGATAATCTGGTGTGACTACGAGTCGGTAAGGGTGTGTCCATCGCTGATGTGTATTTAGGAAGCAATATATGCATTACTCCGTCATATGTCGTCTAAATGCGACGTATAGTAGCAAAATGTGAACATTCTAGATCCCTTATAGATATGACCGAATATTGGAAACGTTACTTAATCTTAGAAGTCGCGCTTAAGTATAGATCTATGTCTATCACTATAAATTCTTTGTAAAATGAATTAAAGAGGTGGCATGATATTTAACTACAACTTGTAGCCTTTCAGTATTCGGGCGTTAGTAGTTCCGAGGCAGACATCTGATATTATGACAAAGGCTTACCATTCCTTGAACTTCATTAGGAGGTTCTCCAAAAGTGTATTTATCTAAAAACACCTTTTCTTTTTCCAAAAATTTGATAAAACTCTCTTCTTCTGGTCTTAATAATATGACTGCATTTCCTTTGTTATTGAGTCCTCTGGCCGTGCGACCAACTCGATGAATATATTCCTAAAAGATAAGATAATGCCGAAATAGTAAACATGCCAATCTAGGCTTGTAAGATAAATAAATAAAGTTACCTAAATGTCAATCATTCTGAAGTGTGAAATGACCCATGCCTACAATGTCGCCAATTCGTGTTCGACTGTTTATATACGTAATCAGTCGCAGTTTTATTGTGTTGCTGATAATTCAAAGTCTACTAATAACCACTGATAGGCCTTGTACATACCGTTGTATCGTAAAACAGGTTTCCAGTTAAAAAGCTATTTTTATTTGTTTTATCAAGATACAACATTGAAGAATTAAGCAGAAAAAAAATATGAGACCTAACCGAGATAGAATGGTTTAAGTAGGTACATACATCGAAGTCGTACGAAGGATAATTTTCTTCCTGGAAATTTTGGTGAAAATAGTAAGTATGTGGACTACATACAGTTGCGTTGTGTACAATCGCATTTATTGGCGTTCAAATGTGGGAGAGGGCAGGAGAGTATCTTGTCTTACGGGTAATGATAATTGAAAAAAGATTTCCTTGAATGTGTCATTCAAAAATAGGTACCTTAGGATCTGAAGGTGGGTCATACTGCACAATCCAATCAACACTAGGAATATCCAAACCGCGTGCAGCCACGTCAGTACAAAATAAAACTCCATTTTGCGCTTCAATAAAATTATGATACGCTTCTTTCCTCCTAGCTTGACTTTGCTGACCCTGAAAAGGAATAACATTGAATTAAAATAATACTGACATAAAGTAAATATAGGTAGGTTTTATTAAAGGGACTGCCTCGTTGGCCGAGTGGTCGCAAGTGCGACTGCCGGGCAAGGGGTCTCGGGTTCGATTCCCGGGTCGGGCAAAGTATTACTGGTTTTTTTTTAAACATCAGTAGTAGCACGGAGTCTACGAAATGTGCCCGGTATATGGCAATAGGCTCACCCCCTATTACGCGGGACACATAACATAAATAGTGAAAAGTGGGTGTTACTTCTGTGTGCACCTCTGCCTACCCCTTCGGTGATAAAAGGCGTGATGTTATGTTATGTTTTATTAAGGATTACAATGTAAGTACGTTTACCTGCCACTTCGCAGTAAAAATAAGGTAAATATGAATTAAATAAATACTCACATGTATACTTAAAACAGAAGCTTTGCAATGTTCTTGGAAAAATTCGTGATGAAAATCCACAGACCGACACGACGAGAAGAATACCATAACTTTAAGCTTTTTACTTTTCTTCAGCATTTTGTACAACCATGCTATCCTTTTTTCTACTGGACAAATGTAATACCTGCAAAAAACATCATCCGTTAAGTCATTTATAAGACAAGCCACACATAATTATTACAACAACAACATACACAGGAGAAAATCCTAGCGTGGGGCAAGGTATTTAAAAAAAAAAAAAGAAAATGAAAAATCAATGACCTACTCTGAATTTTTCATACTCAATAAATAGGTATCTATAACAGATGTGGAAAGAGCAACGGGTAATCTACCGCTTCGCTTTGGGCAATCAGTGAATATAAATAAACATAAAAATCCCACATGTTGACCACATGTGACTTCGTTTTAGTGTAGCATACGGAACTGTTAATAAATGTGTTATATGTCGCGGTAAACTTGTTGCGTGTCAGTGGAAGACCGATGCCTGACTGCATAACAATGTCAGTCAGTCGGTCGTCCGACACTCTGCCAATCCACTAACAGAAATTATTCATTTCTTCTTTCATGTAGACTGAACACCACACTGCGTTCCACAACTAAAATTTGCCGTTGGCCATAAAGCCGCAGGCTTGAAGTGGAACTAGGCTGGTCATGTCTGCCGCATGTCCGACGAGCAGTGGGCAAAACTTCCTACTGAGTGGAGCCCACTCAACGTCAGTAGACGTCGCGGCAGGCCCAAAAGGAGATGGCGGGACGAATTAGACATCTATGACAAGGATTGGCCGCAAAAAGCTTTACATAGAGAGGAGTGGAAGAAGGGTAGGGAGGCCTTTGCCCTGCAGTGGGACGATCATGGCTGAAAATAATAAATAAAATAATGTAGACTGATGGTTGTGAGTCAACATGACGATGAGGCTTTATGGAAATTGGATTTAGCAAGCAAATATTACCTTGACAGCATTGTGCATAGTCATATTTGAAACACAGGTTTAATTATATTACAACTTCCTTCTGCCAGCAGCAAATCGCGTTTTCAGGATAAAAATAACCCCATGTTAATCCAAACTATAATCGCTCTCTATAAAATTTCATCATAATTATCCAGAAGTTTATCCTAACAATTTTACGTCCATCTATTTATCGTTACAAACTTTCGCATTTATAAAATTACTAGCTGAGCCTGCGAATTTGTCCGCGTGGAATAGTGATTCATAGCTCTTCCCTCGTAATATTCATGCAAAATTTGAAGAAAATCCATGCAGCACTTTTTGAGTTCATCCCAGACATACATACAGACAAACAAACAGACAGACAAAAATTTTAAAAACCATATTTTTTGTTTCAGTTTCGACAGTAGATCACACGCAAAGAATTCTTTAAAAAAATATTCGATGTACAATTTTCGCTTTCCTACAATTTTATTATATATGTATAATAGTTATAGTAGGGTATAAATAGGTCTGTATATTTACCCCTGTTGCAATCCCGTCACTGTGGATGTTTTGTTATCATTTACAGATACTAAAACTGGATCAGTTCTCAATGCCAACCTGGCGAGATTCTTGACATTTTCGCCCATAGTAGCACTGAATAAAACTGTTTGTCTTTTTGCTGTAATAAAACAATTATATTTTACATTTAAATAATAAAAAAAATATAAAGTACAACTTAGGCAATGTACTCGGGAAGGTGTTTGAACAGTTGCCTGAAAATATTGTTAACTTATGTTAATAATAAATAATTTATGATAAAACTTTTATTTGTTTCGTTTGATAATAGATATTATTAATTACGTCATCATACCTTTATACTTTAAGAGACTAGATAGGTACAAGTAAGATGTATTGTATTAACAATCAGCCGAACATAGTACCTCCTCCTTTTTTTGAAGTCGGTAACAATAGACGTATTATCAACTACATAAAATGTATTATGCAGATTGACTACTAATTACATGTCATGTTATTACAAAGTTATTTTATTTTTAATCATATTGTAACTATTAAATCAAATCTGAAATGTAACTTTTTCTCATTTATTTATTTTTATACTAGTGATATGATAATAAATCCTTACTATAATATTATAAATTGGAAAGTGAGTTTGTTTGTTTGTTCTGCTTTCACGCCGTAACTACTAAACCGATTGCTTTGAAATTTTGCAAACGTAAAGTTTGAAGTCCAGATTAAAACATAGGCTACTTTTTATCTTTTTGTAACGCGAGCGAAGCCGCAGGTAAAAGCTAGTATTATATAGTATAGCCTTACTTACTTGGTAACAAATTAACAATGCCAGTTATGTGCTTCTGAAAGCCTGCTTCTAAAAGTTTATCAGCCTCATCTAACACTAAACACTGCAGCTTGTTACAATTAAACTTTTCAGTACTTTGCAAATGGTCTAAAAACCGACCGGGAGTTCCGACTATGATATTTGCACCTGCAACATAGAATGGGGGTATAATCATGCCTAGAAGGGACAGAGAATGTCACTGTGGTCCTATTATCCTTATTTACATTTAATTGAAATACGCCTTTATGCACTTGGTTTATGTACGTTATAGCAAACCAAACCCATTTTCAATGTGAAGAACATTTTACATTAGCCAACCAGACCGAGAAAGCAAAATGCGGAACATGATAAATTTTCAAAACAGTTTTTATATTAATTGTTCAAAATGATATATAAAAAATAATTATCTGAATCTACTACCTCCTATTTTTTTGCACATTAGATATTGCTATCAATAAATTAGCAAAACATGTTTCATGCATTTTAAAATAAATTCTAATTTATGAACAAAATGAGACTTACCTTTCTTCAATTTTATAATGTCTTTAGCTCTTTTCTCACCTCCCACAATAAGGCAATGTGATAAAGGAATGTTCATTAGAAGTTTCTTCAATACATCAGATGTTTGTAATGCTAGTTCTCTTGTAGGTGATAAAATTATACATCCAGTACCTGGTCATGGAAAGTGGTAAGTATTTGTTAATCTTAAACTAAATTAGTCTACAGTTATTTCAACTGTTCTTTTCAAAGATTTCTCATTCCTTAGAGACAATAGTATTTACAGAGGTGCATACCATATATAGGGTTACAGGGTAAGTCGACCTAAATCCTTCAAGAGGTGATAGTATCTATTATTCCTGACCGATTTGACTAAGGAACCCACTAAGGAAGTGAATTACTTTTATGAAAATACAAGATTTTGGTCAATTGAACCCTTTTTTATGTTTTGTGTCTTAGTTGCTTTATTATATGAAACCATAAAACTGCAGGTGACTATACCAACAGTGGTGTAGTAGACGAAAAAATTAACATGAATAAATTTGTGATAAGGTTTGTTTTATTATGAAGATATTTAAAAAAAAGTACATTTTAAATAGCAGCGCGACAGTCGCTGCGTCGCGGGCCGCGGAATTCTGCTCATGAATATGAGCCTAGCATGGCTTGAAACTAGTAGAGTTTCTTTCCTCAAATAATTTCGCGAGTAAGCCGACAAACATAATATTTACAATATTAATGGTAATTCAAAATAAAGAAAAATCTTACCTCCCTTAGCAGACCATCCTAACTTGAGCAAATTTTCAACAACTGGTATTAAAAATGCCAAGGTCTTTCCACTGCCTGTTTTGGCCGCACCAATAAGATCTTTCCCTTGAAGTAAATGTGGTAAAGCTTCAGCTTGAATACGAGTTGGTTTCTCCATACCCATAGAATTCAATGCTTTCAAGATTCTGCTGTCCACTTTTCCTTCTAACATGGAAAAAGAAGATTGTGATACTATTTGATCTACTTCCATCTTTGATTCATTGTCAGACCTCTCGTATGTTTAATTAATGTAGAAATTTAATAAAAACTAATATTTATCACAGTTTTCTGTCACAAATTACAATTATATGGTTGTATTATTAGGCTTTGTGCCATTGCCATGTGTATTTGTTTACTTTTTTTAGATCGCAATGACAGTGACATTGACAGCAAGTTGACTTATGAAATGAACCATCGATTGCGTCGAAAGTCAACAGGGATCGATTACTACATTTTATATTTTTGGAGTAATTTGAAAAAAAGAGGATACGTAAGTATGGCAATACTGTACAAAGATACTACAAGTTATTTCAATTCAGTAGCTAAACCAAATTAAAATAGCTCAAGGTCAAGTTATGACGAGTCAAATTTGAAAATCGATTGCCATATCGAATCGGTACCTAACAAGTTTTACGCTGTACCTGAGGTGCTATCCTTGTCTACTTAAGTACCTATTAAAAATTTAGGGCAACATTCATTCAATAATGTGCTTCTGCATACAATTTTGTATTTGATGTTATTGAAGTATAAAAAAAATATAAGTACCCCAAAGTACCTAATTTTTTCCTGTAAGTTGAATACATTTATGATATCAATTAATGAAAAACATGATCAATAAAACACAAGGTAATATTAAAACAATAATTTTATTGATCACTCACAATGTTTTGTTCACTTTATTTAAAATTTATTCTTTCTACTTGAACTAAAACAGCCTTGCATTTGAGGAATGTGAGAGAAAATAAAGTAGGTATGATGTTGTATATTTCAGTCTTTACATCAAAACACTGATGAATAAATGTTCCAAATAATTGCCACTTCCACTTAAACAAAAATAATTTTACTACTTGATACTCGTCTACTTTATCATGATATATATTAATTTAATTGATTTCCAGTACATTTATGTTTACTATATATACTCATGTCTATTCGGAGTGTGATTTGAGACTTGTCCTTAAAGAAACATGATAATGGATGACTGATTTATATTTGTAACTTAGTGTTAAACACATCACATACAAGTGCGAAAATTTAGACACTAAAATTATTAAAGTTCATCGTGTGATGAATGCTGTGCAGAAGGACTGGACTCATCACAGGCTGCAGGTGTGCTAAACTCCATCTTGTACTCACAACGGAAAGGTTCTGTGACAGATAAGAGTTTTGTTTCCAAGCCACAACTGATATGTACTGTTGTCATTCGGCTAGGCCCATTCCAGCAGGATACACCATTGGTATATTTCATAATAGCATATTTATTTTGATCTCCACCAGCCCATTCTCCCCAGTTTCCAAGACCAACTTCTGCACCACCATTCTTGGATTTTTGTGTTACTTTCTGGAAAACACACAATTTGTACACATACTCCTTATCCTCATATTCCCAACATTCACCATCCAGTGTGGCAAACTCTTGTTGCAAGCCATAATCTTTCTCCAGATTTTGTTGAATTTTCCTAATGTTAGCTTCTATTTCCCTAACCGTGCGTTCAGCATCTGTGTGTTGACGACGTGCTTCAGTGGCTTCATCGACTAACTTTTGAGTTTCCTCATCATAAACATTTCCATGTTCTGCTTCAGCTTCTTGTTCATGCTCTTCAGTATCATCCTGAGGAAGGTCCAAATCACTGGCTTCATCATCCTGGCCAGTATATTCAGTGTCAAGATCACCAGCAGCCTCATCAGCATCCTCTTGTTCTAGTTCCTCATGTTCTTCAACTGGCTTGAACAATCCATCTTTGACCATCAACAAAGGTTTCAACAATGACCAAGTTGTAGTTACAAATGTTTCCTTGTCTACACTCTCATTTTCTCCAAAGAAGTAGGTAAGTTCTTCTGATGCAAGGTTACCATCATGGTCTTTGTCAAAGACTTGGGCTGCAATTATTTCATCCATAGTCAACACTTCATCATGATTGGTGTCATATTTGTTGAAGTGTTCTAATGCTTCTTTAATAGCCTTTTGCTTCTCTTCCTCTGCTTTTCTTTGTTTTTCCTGCTCTTCAGCTTCTCTGTAAACTTTTAGTGCTTCATTCTCTTTAGACTCCAGCATATTTTTAAGGTTTTCTTTTTCATCCTTTAACTGTACAGCCTCAGCTTTGTCTTTTTCTAGTTGTTGCAACTGTTCTGCCATTTCATTTCGCTTAGCATTTCCTTTTTCTATAAGCTCTAATCTTAGATGACTACCTGCCTTGTACAACTCAGCCATGCGTTGAGCTTCAGCTCTTGCCTCTCGGCCTAGTTCTTCGCAAGAGTTCACACATGTTTCACCAGATGCGTACTCGTCGGTACCGTCACAACAGTCGCAAACACCATCGTTAACTCTAGAACTTGGTATGTTTAGCGGTCGATGACCGGCGTTTGTACAATGGAAGAAGCCATTCAGACAAGCTGAGGTGCCAGGCTCATCACTGCCATCAAAACAATCGCAGTAGTCATCGTTTACATAGCTGAAAGGTATAGTAATTGTTCCGTCGAAACAGGTGAAATCTTTTGTCGGCGAATATAGCGGTGCTTTCGAAAGGGAGACACCGCGGGGTCTCGGCACATCAGACTGCACGTAAGTGATAAAAGAACCAACTATAAAAAATACTGAATAAAACTGATTGATCCATGTAGGATAGATCATGATTAATTTAAAATTACACTTTTATTGCTAAACACCGGTCACTTACTAAAGTAAAATTGCAATAGATAAATAGAGAACGTGTAGAAGAATGACATGACAGCGCTGACGTTAGCCGACCAATCAAAACTCGCCACAGCCTGCCATAAACAAAAAGTGAAAGATAAAAAATGTTGTAAAACGGCTATGATTTTTGAGAAAATCAATATAATTAGAGTAAAATACCAACCCACATTTTTTCAGTCGAGATTAGAATGTAACCTAACATGATTTCTCGGTTCTCATATAATTTCTAATAAGAAAAGAAATCAAGCCCATTCATTGAAACCTTTATTTTCATTGAAATTAAGATATTAAAGAAAGACCATACTACTATAAATAACTTTATAGACAGCTTTGGGTTCCCGTCTGTGTTCCTTAACCTTTTGAAAAACTTTTTTTATCGAGTAAGAGGCTAACGATTAGACGGACCACTTCTGGTAAGCTATCAGCGCTCATGGACACCCGCAACACAAGAGGAGGCACAGGTGCGTTAGCGGCTCGGCTTTCTAAAAAGGAATACGGGTTTTTTCATTTTTCAACACATTAATATCTGTATTTAGGTCAAGGGTTGCGAATAGATTTAGGTCATTATTTCTGGTTTTAGATTTTATCTATGCAGTTTCCAAATGTCAATTATCTTACGTCAATGATTGTGAACGTCAAATACGTCAAACAAAAACGCTTGGCAAAGTTTGGCTATTGGTGGCTTCTGTTTTTGTGGTTATAATTTTCAATAATAGAGTCTATTTCTTACAAAAATTGCATATTTGTTGTGTTTGTTGCTGAGACCGAACGTATGGTGAAGATATTGCTAATTTATTTTAAACAATAATAGTTTAGCAACATGGAAACTATACTCGAACAGCAAAGAAGTTACCATGAAGAGAGGGAACGGACGATGGACGCAATGGTCAAAGAAATTCTTCATAAAAAGACTGGGGTGAGTCAATAATTTCAAATTATACACATATTTTTATTATACTAACATAGTGTAAAAATATGTTTCACAAAATAACCTTTGTATTTGTCTGGCTTTTAAATAGCTGTTTTCATTAGTGAATAAGAAAATTGTATTGTTTTCAGCACCGTGAAACTATAAATGCTGACCATCGATTGAAGAATCTGCACGACGTAAGTACTGAACATGTATTGCTATACTTTTAATCTCAAAAAACTTATAACAGCATTTTCTATGACAAAAAATGGTGGGGAATATCACTCAAAAGGCTATGTTCTTATTACAGAGATATGTTGAGTCAACTATAAGGTTGAAGGAGTTGTATGAGGATAAAGATGGTCTTCGTAAAGAGGAAATAGCAGCATTGTCTGGTCCCAGCGAATTTAATGAGTTCTATGCGAGACTTAAGCAAATCAAAGAGTTTCACAGAAAACATCCTAATGAGGTAATTATTTTTAGTTTTAAACTAATTAGTTTAAATGTAAAGAATTTTATTTATGATTTCAAACTCAATTCACATAATAATAGTTGAATGTTTTGTTATTTCTAAAATATCTAGTTACTTTGGCATACTTTTTATGAATATAATTAATATTTTATATTTATGTTACAGATTTGTGTGCCAATGTCAGTGGAGTTTGAAGAGCTGGCAAAATTGCGAGAGAATCCAGCTGAAGATTTTACAAGTGAGTTGTTTACTGAGCATGCTACTGTTTAAATGTAACAAATACATAATCAGGTTCTGAAATAAGTCTCTTGTTAAGAATGTGTATAATAAAAAGTTACAAGCTGTATTTATTTCATTTCAGCTCCTGTGGAGTTTACCGATGAAGAAGGCTATGGAAAATATTTAGATTTGCATGAATGCTACGAGAAGTATATCAATTTGAAAGGCATAGAAGTAAGTTTTTATACACTCAACGATTTTAGATTATAATAACTTTTGAACCAGTTATTTATTTATTTTTCTTTTACAGAAAGTGGATTACATCACATACTTGAGCATCTTTGACCATCTCTTCGATATTCCCCGTGAGCGTAAGAACAGTGAATACAGAAATTATATCAGAGTTCTTTTGACTTACTTGAAAGACTTTGTGAATAGAGTAAAACCTCTGCAGGACCAAGCTCAAGAGATGGCAGCTGCTCACCAGGAGTTCACTAAGCAATGGGAAGCTGGAACCTTTCCTGGATGGCCTGTAAGATATATTTCCGATATCTATTGACAGAATTAGATTTATTTTAAACCTACATATTTATAAGTGTAACAATAGTCTTCCTTTCTCTGCTATGAGACACACCCTACACATCACATGACAAAGTTCTTTTTGTTACTTCATATCTTCATATTTTTTTAAATTCTATATCATTGCTAATACAGTTATCTATTCTTTATATTTTTTATGGTTCTCTTTATTTCGATCTCTCCTTATTTAAATTGAGCACTCTGTCATTTCTTTCATCACATAATCGGACTAGATATTGTTCAGTTATTTTATTCATGTTTTTATTTTTGAATAACATTATTTTTTTCGAAATAGAAAGAAACTGGTGGTGCCCTGACGAATGTGGGAGCTCATTTAGATCTATCAGCTTTCTCCTCATGGGAAGAACTGGCCTCACTTGGTTTGGATAGATTAAAGTCTGCCCTCATGGCTCTCGGGTTGAAATGCGGTGGTACTTTGGAAGAAAGGGCACAAAGGTATGTAATAGCCCAACACTAGGATTTTCTCCTGTGTTGTGGGTGAGTTCACAAACATACAAGTTCACATAATCTGGAATTAAGTTTTAATTTAATATTCTAGAATTTACTCATTGAATTTATTTGTTTTAGATTGTTCAGTACAAAAGGCCAGACTTCATTGGATAAGTCTCTAGTTGCTAAGAAAGGTGGCAACAAAGCAAAAGCATCAACCCAACAAAGGCACAAAGATATTGCTGCTATTGAAGCTCAAGTTTACAGGTATTTGTTTTAACAATATCTTGTATACTGAAACATATTTCTAAGTTATGATTTCCAATTTCCAATTCTTAGTAAAAGCATAGTCAAGAAACATGATAAATCTTTTTGTGAAATAAAACTTATGTTGTTAATATTTTATGTCTGTACTTTTAAAGAGCCATGGTTGAAATGGTTTTCATTGTTTTAGATTTGCCAACATCGTAAGTAGTACAAGAGCTGCAACTATTGAGAATGTGACACGTCGCGCAGCTCGTGCGGCCGGTGAGCGTCGTGATGACAGTGGTGATGAGAGTGATGCCTCCGCCGCTCCGGATGTCGATTCTGATGATGATGAAGTGCCATACAATCCTAAGAACTTACCTCTTGGATGGGATGGCAAGGTTTGTTCTAATTATATAGCGCTGTTAGTGTTGTAAAATTATGTACGACGGTTATAAGTTAATCTACGTCGTACGTGTTTCGTAAATAAGTTTCAAACTTTATTTCCTTGTAGTAAAGTTGAAAATCTATAATATTTTGCTATTATTGATGTTAATTAATACTTAAACTTACATTTGGTACTATTTTTGTAATAATAATTATATTTTTGCAGCCTATCCCATACTGGCTGTACAAGTTGCATGGTCTGAACATCAGCTATACTTGCGAGATTTGTGGTAACTACACATACAAGGGACCGAAGGCGTTCCAACGGCACTTCGCTGAGTGGCGTCACGCTCACGGCATGAGGTGTCTTGGTATACCGAACACTGCTCACTTTGCAAACGTTACACAGATCGAAGACGCACTAGCATGTGAGTATCTTAGATCGTTTATGGTAAAGAAGAAGAGGGCAAAAAATGCTAATTAATTTTCTTACTTGATTTTCATTTTTGTTTCAGTATGGGAGAAAATCAAACATCAAAAGGAGAATGAAAGATTTGTTGCTGAAAATGACGAGGAATTTGAAGACTCGCAAGGAAATGTCGTCAATCGTAAGACCTACGAAGATTTGAAACGTCAAGGACTACTATAAGTTTAATGTGACATACTAATACTACTTTATTTCTTAGATAATAAAATAAAACCAGATTTAATATATATCCTTTTTTTTAAACCGTAGCCCCACATTAGGATTTTCTCCTGAGTCTTGAGTGCGTTTACAAACATACATGTACGTACAATATCACACACATGACCCCCAGACTCGAAAGAACAGTTTGTGGATCATAAAATAGTTGCTCTATACGGGAATCGAACCCGCTACACGTTGCGCGGGAGCCAGTTGCGCAGCCACCTCCCCATGCTAAAGTTAAACTGATTTACTTTATTCCTCGTCGAGTAATAAAATCTCTTAGAGTAATAATGCAAAAGTAAAGCATAAAATAAATGCTATTCTTTCAAAAAAGAACAATTGAAAATTATGCTTGTTATGCCCTCGTTTTATTGGACGTGTCGTGTTGATAATAGACCTATCAAATTGCCATTTTGTATGAAGAATTTTAAACAAATTCATGTATTTTTTATTTTTATAAATCGAAATAATCACCCATGCAATCAATGCATCGTTGCCAACGCAGTGGCAGTTTATTGATGTCCTTCTTAAAGAAATCATGGTCGGGAGGGAACAAATTCTTCAAAGGCATTTTGTACTGCCTTTCGGGCTTTGAATTTTTTTCCCGCCTAGAAGTTATCCAAATTCAGGAAAAAGTAGTAGTCTAGGCTACGCCTAGGAAAAGTTTTTTTTTATTAAAAAAAAAAACGTTGCCCCACACTAGGATTTTCTCCTGTGTCGTGGGTGCGTTTACAAACATACAAGTTCACATACACAAAGACACCCAGACCCGAAACAACAATTTGTGGATCACACAAAGTGTTGTCCCGTGCGGGAATCGAACCCGCGACACGTTGCACGGCAGCCGGTTGCCCAGCCACCGCACCAACCGTGCAGTCAAAGTAGTAGTGAGTAGGGCGGATGACGGAGAATTTCCAAGTTCTTGCAACTTGGAGAATTGAAGATTGTCTGTTGTGCAGTATAAGGTGGCGCTTTGTCGTGGAGGAGCAGCGGAGAAGAGCGATTGACTAATGCTACTTAGAAATGTGCCAGCTTCTCTATCATTGTGCTCAGTTCTTCGCAGATCACATTTGCAGTAATGCTCACCGTATTTCGTAAGAAGCTGTGATGAATCACACTGGCGCTAGTCCACTAAACAGTAACCATCACTTTTCTAGGGGTACATTTTTGACGCTTATGATCTAAATTCATGTGGAGTTCGTGCTCTATTTATTATCTGTGGAGCACTTTGACTTGCTTTGACAAGACAAGATGATAAGTCAGTTTGACAGTTGGACAACAACAATCGCACGCGTGTTGTTTTGTGAGATAGTTTAAAGAGAAATGGTAATTTCTCTGTGAATAATTATAATTTATCAGTGAAACTAAATAAATCATTGTTAGAGCAGTGTACAAAAATGACAGAGCTTTCAGGAAGTCGGATATTCACCGGCTCCAGGGTTTTAGGTTATGTCAGTACACATGTGCCATTTGTGGCTAGATTTATTAAAAGACGAGGAGAAACACTGCTATGTACAAGTGTGGGAAAGTGGTTTCATACATATGGATGTGATAAGTTTCGTTTACTGAGCGTCAGCGGTGAGCATCCCGGGCCAATCACGTATATGAGTGGAGACAGTTATCATGTCTATACAGCAAGTGAAAATAACATTTATGCGTGGCGACGAGGTTGTGAGCTTAAACACGTATATAAAGGCCACAATGCCCCTATACATTTAATGCTACCATTCGGTATTCATCTTATATCCATAGATGAAGACAATGTTCTAAAGATATTTGATATTAAAGATGAATCTGAATTCCTTGAGCTTGGATTTGATGAGCAAACCTTCAAAGTGACTACTCTATGTCATCCTCCAACTTATCTGAACAAGATACTCCTTGGAAGTCAACAAGGGCAGTTGCAGATATGGAATGTCCGTACATCAAAGTTGGTGTTTACATTCCAAGGATGGGACTCAGCAATAACTGTTACGGAGCCAGCTCCAGCCGTAGATGTGGTGGCGGTGGGATTAGCCAATGGGAAGATAATCCTACACAACTTAAAGTTCAACCAGTCAGTAATGGAGTTTATTCATGATTGGGGAATGGTCAGCTCATTATCCTTTAGACTTGACGGAGTCCCTGTTATGGTAACTGGGAGTTCCGCAGGTCACATAGTTATGTGGGATTTAGAAGAGCGAAGAGTGTTATCTCAAGTACAATCTGCTCATTATGGAAAAATATCTGGATTGAAGTGTTTGATGTCCGAACCTTTGATGGTGACAAATTCTGCAGACAATTCATTGAAGCTGTGGATATTTGATATGCCTGATGGTGGTGCAAGGCTTTTGAGAAGAAGGTAAAATATATTATTACTAATCAAAAAATGTCTTACAAAACTATGCCATTTTAATCTGGGTATAAAGATTAAAACGCTATGTCACAGCAAAAAATTAATGCACCTTATATATTTTAGGGAGGGGCATGCTAAACCACCAACCATGGTGTGTCACTGTGAGCCAAGCGGTAACAACATCCTCGCTGCTGGCAGTGACAGTAGCCTCCATATAATGAACACAGTGTCAGAAACATTCAACAAAAGCCTTGGAAAAGCATCACATAGCAGAAAGGCTTCAAAGAAGAAAAGTAAGTGCATTCTTACTAGTTAACTTGTATTATTTAAATAAGTACATTAGTTTATAATTTTGTTTGAATGCATTAGTTAAACTTTACAAATATTGTGTGTTATTTGCCATCATACTTGTCATTGCTCATTTGCTCTGTAATATTGAAGAATAATACTTAATATACTTAATACTTGAATAGACCAAATACAGAAAGCTAAATACTTTACGAAGACACCCATGAACCATTTACAGAATATTTAAAAAATTTGAAGTTCTAACAATTTTTTCTTGACTTCTTATGTTTTCAGAGAGATTGCAGTTTGATAATTTAGTACTACCACCAATTACTAAGATTAGTTCTTGTATGCAAAGAGACAAGCAGTGGGACAGTATAGCCTCTCTTCACCAAGGATTCTTTGTGGCTACGACATGGTCTTACAATAAAATGCGAATGGGAGATCATAAGTTGAAACCTCCAGAAATGGACAAAGGAGTTGTAGCTACTTGTTTAACTGTTACACACTGTGGAAACTTTGTAATTATTGGTAAGTAATTTTTTTGGTAAAAGTAGTAAACAAAATAATCACTCAGATTTGTGATTTGTGACCTTAAACATGTTAATAAAAGTGGTTGTTTATCATCATCATCATTAACAGCCTATAAATGCCCACTGCTGAGCATAGCCTCTTCTCACACGGATAAGGTTTGAGCATTAATCACCACGCTTACTCAATGCGGGTTGGTGATTTCAAACTGATAATTAGAAATTATAAGCCCAAGTTTCCTCACCGTGTTTTCCTTCATCGTTTGTCAGTGGTGTCTAAATATTATCTGTTAATATTTATATATTAACAGTTATATTATATCTTGTTGGTTAGTAGGTTGTTTATAAGTACTACCTAATTACTGCATTATTAATTTAATTTAATAGATCTTTATTCTATGGTCTTCCAAAATATTATACTGTTATATAAAACTGAAGACTTCATTTGGTTGTTTAAACGCACCAATTTCTGGAATTACTGGTTCAATTGGAAAAATTTTTTTTGTATTGGATAGTCCATTTATTGCAGAAGGCTATAGGCTATAAAACATCACGCTACAATCAAAGGAGACTAGCAGAGCCAGTCATTAAATTTTATTCTATCCTAACATTAGTTATTATAGTGTGAAAAGTATTTTTTTAATCCAATCCTTCTTCACAATAAATTCCTGTACACACATAAAGCACTTATGTATGGAGACAAAGTCTGCCTCGTTGGCAGAGTGGTTGCAAGTGCGTCTGCTGGGCAAGGGGTCTTGAGTTCGTCTTCCGAGTTGGGCAAAGCATTGTTGGTTTCTTAAAAAAAATCTCAGTAGTAGCATGGTGTCTGAAAATTTGCCGGGTATGTTACAATAGGGGGTGAGCCTATATTGTGGGACTCATAACATAAATAGTTAAAAGTAGGTGTTATATCGTACAGTGGTATTAAATAATGTGCACCTCTGCATACCCCTTTGGGGATAAAAGGCCAAGGTACGAATTTGTTTTACGTTTAAAGTAATCATAACGAGTACGCGTTAGGCGCTGTGATTGGTTGCTTCATTGGCCAATCAGAGTGCCGAACGCATACTCGTTTCGAATACTTTACACGTAAATTAAACTCGTACGAAGGCCTCTGATGTTATGTTGAGAAAACAAACTAATTTACATTGTCTTTTTTAAAACAGGCTACTCCAATGGTCAAGTTCACAAATTCAACATGCAATCTGGTATACACCGTGGCTGCTATGGCAAAGACAAGAAGTTGGCACATAAGGGTGCTCTCAGAGGTGTTGAAACTGATCTTTGTAACCAGAGGGTGATCACTGTTGGAGCTGATGATAAACTGAAGCTATGGCACTTTAAACGAAGTAAGTAACTGTTTCGTATCAAAATCTATATGGCTTTGTGGTAAAAATGGTATTATAACTTTCGTGAGACATACTTAATAAATTATTATGTTTTCGGCTTACTCACGTAATTATTTGACGAGGAACTCGACTAGTTTTAAGCCATGCTAGAGGGTCATATTCATGAGCAGCATTTCGCGACCCGCGACGCGGCGATTGTCACGCTGCTACTGGCAACCAGGCTGAGGACCCAGCGCGCCCTCTGCCGTGATTCACGCGCACTTTCTTCCATTCTACTAGTCGAGTTTCTCGTCAAATAATTACGTGGGTAAGCCGAAGACATAATAATTTAAATTAATGGTAATGATAAGTTTGCATATATTTGTATATATCTATATGTAAAAATTCTCCTATGTGAATTCAAAGAACAATTAAATTTTATTTTATGTGACGAAAATTAAATTATCGAACAAAGAAAATAAAAATATTCTTTAACATGTTATTTAAACAGAATATTACGGCCCATTTCGCACACATTTAATGTTGATCAAGAAATTGTTTTAAAAATTACTCACCAATTCAATCATTGATTAAATTATTATTTGCAATGTAAATATTATATTTTACAATATTACTAATTTATACAAACAGGTTGTATATGCAGGAATCACACAACTGAATATTATAATTAATCTTATATTACTATTATTCCATATTATTACTATTATTTATTATTATAACGCGGTAATGGTTCAATTTGAATAATTATTTTCCCGATAATTGTGCATCCGGTAACCGCACTCACACGGCGAAACACAACACAAGCGGTGTTTCACGTCGGTCTTCTGTGAGGCCGTGGTATCACTCCGGTCGAGCCGGCCCATTCGCGCCGAAGCATGGCTCTCCCACACTTAATTTTTTTACAGTTCAGGCAATAATAACTTAATAAGTACGTAAAATTAATAGAAATATTGACATATAGTTACAAATTGGACATGAACAATGATATACAAAAATTAAAACTATGCTCAGGTATATTTTTCGACTGTCTAAAACAACAGAAGCTCTTATTTCTAAAATAACAGACAATTGTGGCTTCTAGTCTTGGTTCATTTGATTTATTGTTTTTAGTTAATTCGTTTATCCGATCTATGCAACTCTTTTGGTAAACTTAATTAAATAGAGTAAGCTTAAAAAAGAATCGGGAATAACTAGAAAGTTCATTTAAAACTGGTTTGTGTGGGTTTGCTTGTGTTACTGATTAAAATAGTGATTATCTACCGATGCGATAGAGAAGTGGGTGTTATAATCACAGTAAACACAACACACTTATTTGAAACTGTTCGGCACGAATGGGGCGGCTCGACCCGAGTGATACCGCGGCCTCACAGAAAACCGACGTGAAGCAACGCTTGCGTTGTGTTTTGTCGTGTGAGTGAGGTTACCGGAGGCCCAATTACCCTCCCCTTTCCCAATCTCCCAAATCCGTGAATCTCCAACAATCCTCAAACTCCTAATCCCCAAAAGGCCGGTAACGCACTTGTAATGCCTCTGGTGTTCCACCAGGTGTCCGTGGGCGACGCCTATTGCTTACTAGCAGATGATCCGTTTACCGGCTTATGCCATTAAAAAGAATATATATAAATTTAATCCTTCCAAAACGTTCACATGTCTATAATATTAGTAGCGATGTTATCGAAATGATGTTTGGTGTATAAGGAAAGTGAAAAAATATCACGCACGATATTTTTTATTAAACTGTCAAGCGATCACCGGTGACCGCAACCTATTGTTCTTTAATTGTGTCTATAAATACGGTACTCGACGAGTTAATTTTGAAACTGTTAGTTTTTGCAGTTTTATTATTTTCTAATTGGCACTATTGATTGGTAGTAGAATAATTTATCATTTGCGAAGTTACACAACCATTATACGGCTCTACTAAACTCGTTTGATTTACTTCAGATAGTATATTCTATAATCTATAGTGGCTACTCTCTCTGTATTGAGTCAATATTTATTTTCTTACATGCATACGAATTAACTGTGCAGACATTAACTAGAAATAGTATATTCTATACTATTTAACTAGTATTTAACATATACTATAGAATATACTAATTCAACTGAATTAAACGAGTTTAGTAGCACAGTACAATCGTTGTGTTAATTTCGTAATTACAAATTCTTCTACTATCAATCAATAGTGCCAATTAAAATTTTTGCGTCTATAATTATTTGATAAAACTGCGAATATCAATAGTTTCTATCTTAATAAAAATATTTTTTAACATTTTTTAACTTTCTTTTTACACCAAAAATAATTTCGATTACATACCTACCACTACTATTACAACTTCACAGCACTTGCTTAACGTTACACTTTCTTTCAGCAAAAACAACCCCGTACCACGTAATGAGGTTAGAAGAATCTGTGTCTAGCACAAAATGCCACCGAGACAGCGGTTTATTAGCTCTGGCAAACGAAGACTTTTCCATTACCCTTATTGATATTGACACCATGAATATTGTAAGGAAGTTCGACGGTCACGACGGAAGGATAACCGATATCGAATTTGATACTCAAAGCCGGTAAGACATTAGAGTTGAAATTACCCTTGAATATTTTTTTTTCTTAAATGAGTTTCTTGTTAGTGTAACGTAGTGATTGTAAAGGCCTAGTGCCTATGAATTTTAGACTTAATTCTTAGTTTAGATAGTACTAGCTTTTACCCGCGACTTCGCTCGCGTCACAAAATAATAAAAAGTAGCCTATGTGACATATACCAATACACACAGCGCCATCTATACCAATACTTTTGTTTTTCCTCGGGAATATCAATTTTTTCCGGGTTAAAAAGTACCCTATTATTAATTCCGGACTTCTTACAAAAAAATTCAAAGCAATCGGTTGAGTAGTGACGGCGTGAAGGTGGAACAAACAAACAAACAAACTCACTTTCAGATTTATAATATTAGTAAGATTAGTAAGAAGTAAGAATAGTAAGAATTAGTAAGAATAGTAAGAATAAGAATTATTTCTATATTTGAACACGATAGTACTCATAGATCTTCCAATGAATAAAACCTTTTTTATTTGTTCCTCGAGAATTCATAATTATGTTTTTTTTGTAGATGGCTGATCAGCTCATCAATGGATTGCACCATTTGTACCTGGGATATTCCAAGTGCCAAATTAGTTGATATCTTTTCGGTAAGTGATATTCAGCGTATTGAACATTCTAAACAACAGGCTGTAGTTCGGCTAGAGAGCGAACAATATTGTTTTATCTTATTTTTCTAATGGCACTTTTTAAAGTCAAACCAAAAACCATTAAAATTAAAAAAGAACACTTAAATATCTGCCTGTCGAGCAGTCCTTTAGCGAGACCATCTCGTACCAAATTGTAGATTTCTATGAAGAAGAACAAGAACAAAAAAATATTGTTTTCTAATTTTCTATTAGTTTTACAATTCTGAGTTATAACTAGAGTCAACTGGGATATTTAACAAATTAAAATATTAACTAAAAATCCCGGGTTACTCACGTGAATATACTGAGAAAAGCTCTACTAGTTTCGAACCACAGAGAGGTTCTTCCTTATGAGCAGCATGCGCAGTCGGCTAGTAAATTGAATTATGTGTGGTCAATATTCTTATTCGTTCTTTTCTCTTCATAGGTTGAAAAACCATGTACCTCACTCAGTATGTCGCCTACTGGAGATTTCTTAGCGACAACTCACGTGGGAGAAGTCGGCGTCTTCCTATGGGCCAACAGATTGTTGTACGAGAGAATATTCCTTAAGCCGATAGACAAGAAAGAAGTTCGTGTGCCTAAATTAAGTAAGTGGCTTTTTATTTATGTTTGGTATGATTTATGTGCATAGCCCACGATTTAGCATGTATAGCCCTCGATGCTAAATTTGGATTTACTGGAGCGTCGTTGGGCCCTACTGGATTTTAAAGATATGCTGATAGAAAGAAAAAAATGGTTTTGTGACAATTTCTTCCACCGGTTGGGGAAGGGGGAATCTACAAATCTTTGAAATTGTTACGCGTACCTTTTGTTCTAGTGGTCGAGCGTATCAGATATTGATAGTGTACATGCTCTGTGTTTTTGATGCTGAAAAAATCTTAATCTGCCAGTTTGCATGGTGCAGTTTGCATTCAAAATCCCCCCACTCTTGCAAATCAAACTCGAATGCGCAGATTAAAACACACTTCTATTAGCATGCTATCTACCTCTCTTCCGTTAATCTTACGAAACTGACCTTCTAGTTAGATCGGATATATGGTTATGCACCAATTTCACCAAAATATTCAATATGACACTAGGTTTTCCCCATATGTCAATTTGACGCGCTCGAGTAACTACCGAAATCCCTTTATAGGCTCCTGTTATAATATATTTGTAATAGGGCAGGTCTATAAACTAGACACAATTACCTCGGATATCTGTGAGACGATGACCATTCTTTGGTTTCTATTTATATGTATACTGTTTTTTTAGGATTACCAAGCACAGCTCCAGAGAAACCCGAAATAGACGACTTAGGAAGAATAGACTTGGGCGAAGAACCAGAATATATATCTCCGATACAAATTAGTGAAGAACTTATAACCTTATCCGACCAGCCTACTTCCAGATGGTTGAATTTGTTACATCTTGATGTCGTTAAGAAAAGGAATAAGCCTAAAACTCCCTTCACTGTCCCAAAATCAGCACCGTTCTTCTTACCGACTATAGCGAGTCTCGACTTAGAGTTCGACCTAGAGAAAGACAAGGACGGAAATAAAGAGACCAAGTTGTTAATGCCCGATTCTTTATCAACACTGACGGCATTCGCAAAGAAATTAATCGTTTGCGAGACAGTCGAGAATTACGAGAAGTGTATAGAGAAATTGAAAACGTTGCCGCCCGCGGCCATCGAGGCAGAAGTGACAAGTATGGCGCCCGACGCTGGCGGCAATATTGACGTTATGAAACAATTCCTCAAAATGTTAGATGTCATGTTAAAAAGTAATAGAGATTTCGAGTTAGCTCAATCATATTTGAGCTTGTTCCTCAAGATGCACACGAAAATCATTTCGCAGAACGAGGAAATGCGAAATTCTTTGGGATCAGTTGAGGAATCCGCGACCAAGGCGTGGGCTAAATTACAAAATGAATTATTGTATAACATATGTGTTGTAAAGGCGTTGAAAGATATGTAATATATTATGTTAAGATGTTTATACTGTTTTAATTAATACCACTGTAATGAAACTATCATAAATTTTAACTCCGAACGTTATAATTCATTAACGTAACATACATTGTGCAGCCGCATGATATATGAGGGTAGGTTAACCTAACCTACCTAAAAATATAAAAAAGATGAAAAAAAAATACAAACTAAAGCTGCTCGTCCATACAAAGAGAAAAACCGAAACGTACTAGTGCGGGAGCACAGCCAACAATGGAACGTAATAGATGATTCTTTCTTATTGTGAACATTGAAAAAGTGGGCTTTTATAAAAGTCGATGCGAATAATCTTGTTGCTGTATTAGGCACCACTTATAAAATAGAACCTTTTAGTAATGATACCCTAACTACAAGTATTACGTAAATAGGTAATATGTCCACTCCCAAGTACCCAAGTAATATGATACTACAAACCATTTTTCTCCAATGTAATTTAAAGCTGTTCTGAGCAACAACCATTCAATAGCAACGAAAGATTTATGAGGATTATTCTCTTTTGATAAAATATGAATTTTCCCCTGTCTATGCAATTTTTCTACTCCATTGGATTCCGCCTGTTTGCGGATGATCCCGCGCGAGGGTCTTTGCGGCGTTTATTGAATATTTTTCGAAGGGAATTAAATCGCGGCCGATCGGTTCACCGGAGCCGGCGTTCATTAATGGCCCGCTTCATTTTCGCAATAAGTATTCATTTCTCCGCCCTCCTCGCCGCCGCGGCCCACTGCCGCTGCCGTGAATCTCCAATGAAAATCTGATTGTGCTTCCTTTCCTTTGCATTATGAATATCTATCAAATTCCTCCGCATCTTAAAGATTCCTTTATTGAGCCAGATCGAGTGTTAAGTAAATACCGCGAACGTTTCATTAATGTGTTTAATTTTTTTTTTACTATTCACACTGGAGCTGAATTTACGAGGAATGTGTAGATGTAACAAAGGCTTTGAAAAGTCATTTCGATGTGTATGCGCCTTCATTTGCAAGCGCTTTAGAAAATGTTAATTTCCGGAGGGCGTTCGGAGCGTGTGGCTTCTACATGTGTTATAAGGTACGGTTTCAAACAAACCATAGGGTACAATTATTACGGAAGTACACGTATTCCGTTTGAGGAGTGTTCTTTATTAATTACAAAGATCTCCGCAAGAATTGCTCATTACATTTGAAGCTCGTTACACACACCTGACCTTCATAGTAGTAAATTGGAAGAAATCTGGCATTTCTCGTGTCCATGTTTTACATACCGATTTGTTCCGTGTCATAGGTCGCGTTAGTTCAAATTATATATAACTATGAACCTATAAGTGGGTATCTACCTACTTACTATCTTTGGCTATGGTTACCACGGACCTATCGCATCGTCACCTGCACCATTATGCACGAGTAGCGACCCACTAACCTAATACTTCTTAACCTCGTATTCTTAGCTACGGTGTGCATAAAATTCTGCTTAGCTATAGTTAAAGATAAGGAAGTGGACATTATTTATTACTTAAGTATTTCTAATAAGTATGTATGTATCAGGTATCTTAGGCGTGCTCTTAGATACTTGGCTTCTGGATCTAAATATGAATTGGTAGTTACCTACCAACAGAGACCTATAGATAGAGTTTTTTTTTAAGTGGGGAAAATCATTGAATGACTGCTCCCGCCTGGGTGAGGCGGGAGGGAGTGTCAGAATCTTACTGACTAAAAACCACCCCGTTCCTTGTCCTGCACGTCGAGCCGGAGCCCCGGATACCCGTTAGGTTCTCCCTGACACCTATAGATAGAGTATACTTAATTTTTTAAAACTACATTTAAAAAAACCGACTTTAATCCCCTATTTTTTTTGGAGTCTGTTAATTAATACCTATACTAAAACATTTTCCTTGGTGTAAAAAACATTGATGTGAAAACTGTATCCAAATCGGTTACCAATCACGAGATAATTACACACTCACACAAACATACATACATACATACATACAAGTCTAAATGAGAACCTTCTTTTTTTGAAGTCGTGTAAAAAGATGCCAGTCATGTTTATTGAAAGTGACTACACAGTGTTTATTACATGAGAATCTGCTAAGTCTAACCTATTTATTGCTTTTAGAAACTAGATACAAGCTAGAGAGAATTAGACAGCAAATTCACCACGGCTATGGACGGATTGAACACGGTGACTGCACTATGAGCGCAGTAGATAGACCACCGATTGTTGCGCACCGTGTCTTCTGCTCGAATTTCGCACTGAACAATTCATTGTGTTATTTTTCACCGAAAAATGCATTCATTGCACAGGGAAAAATATTAAGTAGGTAGATTTTTTTTATGGCATATGCCGTAAACGAGCTGCCGGATCACCTGATGGTAAGCAATCGGCGTCGCCCATGGACACCTGGAACACCTAAAGCGTTACAAGTGCGTTACCGGCCTTTTGGGGATTAGGAGTTTGAGGATTGTTGGGGATTCGGGGATTGGGGAAGGGGGAGGGAGCTGGGCCTCCGGTAACCTCACTCACACGAAGAAACACAACGCAAGCGTTGCTTCACGTCGGTTTTCTGTGAGACCGTGGTATCACTTTGGTCGAGCCGGTCCATTCGTGCCGAAGCATGGCACTCCCACACTTGAAACCCAAAAGCGCTCAATGGTATCTTGAAAAACTCTTATAGGTATAGGTAACACAAAGCACCTACTAAAAGAAGCAGACACATAATTCTCGAAGAGGTATTTTATCACAATTCTTTAATCAGAATATAGAACAAGGAAATGAGGATTGTCGTCCATTTTCTATTACCAATGCTTTATTCCGCGCCATTTAACTTTTTCAGTTGAAAGTTGAATCTTCATAATGCGGCGACGGTGGGCGGAGCAGCGACCTCTTGACAGCGTCCACTGGGTATAAAACTCAATATCTAGTAAATTAACTATTGAAGCAGATTATACATTTCAATGGGTCCGTATATTAAAAGTTTCATTCTGAAAAGGACACCTCATTTTCTTGTGATTGAATTGAATTGTGCAATGTGCAAACCTGTTCTTTTGTCATTGCAGTTCCTAATTCATGCTATTTCGTACTCCAAAGAGATTATTTTTCACAACTGTTCTATGTAGATTTACTACGCCTAATTACTATTTCCGTGTACCAACATTGCTAAGCTATATAATCGTAGGCAGGTACTCTCTTAGTCCCTGTCTAATATTTCTTCGGGGATGCCCTTCGACGGTATATTCATAAACTTCCATGTTAATAATTTTGGGAATGAAAGGAAAGTCATAAAGTATGTACAAGGAAGTGGAAGAAAAACCTGCGCAAGTCGTAAAACTTTGAACGGTTCGCGTGATGGGCTAGGAACTATTATTACGCACGCACTTTTTACACCCCGCATTGTACGTATTTAGCTCGAGATAGATACATTCAAACCTCCGTCTACGAGTTCATAAATAAATGTCTACATTTATGTGTAAAGTGCTACTATAAAGATAAAACATGTAGTGGTAAACGTATTTATTATAAAGGTTCAAAAAGACTCCAAGGAAAATAGACCCTTTCATGTCTTTTAAAAAATAAACATTCGCTTTTCCCAGTCTCTGTGAAGGACTTGTGCAAACATTGTATAGAGATGCGAACCTACGCATTCATTAAACGGAGCAATCTTATTAAGCTTAATGAGTTCAAGAACGTGTACGCTTCTTACTTACCTGTTACGAGTAATTACATTAAAGCGCTTCCAATAGGCCTTTTGGAAATGTAATAAAATCGATTCATCATTCGCTGTGAATCGAATTGATTGAAGAAGCAATTATTATTGTCCGTCAAACGCCCTTTGCTGTATCATCGATATCGAGTAAACGAGGGTTTAAATCGATACTTTCAGACTTTAAAGTATCGTAACTAATTTACGTGTGTTACATAAAGCAAACAGCCGTTATAAAGTGCAGCAAAATTGTTTCATGAAAAGTGTATGGGGCAAACCGGCTGTTGACTATTGGTTAATTAAAAGTAAACAGAGTGAGAGAGTTTACTTTGTCCATGGTGGGTGTACCACTCCGATATCCGTTTTCTGAACTGCCTACGAGATATCGTTCGGTCGCGGGCACTCGTAACTTTTATTGTGCCGTTGTGCGGGTTACAGGGTTGAACGAACGACTTTGAATAAGTGCTAATGCAAATATTATGTTCAGGATTCTTTTTGGTTTCGTTCCTTATCAGGGTTCCGCTTTGTTGTTTGGGTGTCAGTATCTATTCGATCGGATTTTATATTTATTATAAGTCAATTCAACTTAGTTTTGTGGACAGTAAAATGCTTTTTTATGTTTTTCGTTAATTTTTCTCGCAGTTATCCAATTTATGAAATAGCATTTTCATTTTAAAGTTGGGTGTTTTTCGTATAACTTTGTTATCGTATTAATGTTAGCGAAAATCTCGTGTCACCTATCTGGTAGTATTACTCTACGTATTTAATTGAGTTCTATATTAATAGGCTTGTGTACAAACGAGTGGATCGCAACCAATTTATTTGTAAATACTGATTTCTAATGTCAAAGGCCCATACGATTAAAACCTTACCAAAGGTTGTTTGTAGGAGGACGACTAGACGTGTATGAAATCTTGCATGTAGTAACCTCTTCGAGTTATTTATTTGTGCAGGATTAATATTAGCAAAACTAAACTTTATGTTAATATTATATTACACAGAACGAACCTTTTTATTACTGTTTCACAGACGTCAGACTCGAAGCGATTAAAAAGTATTAAAATAAATTATCTTGTACGTAACTCTATGGGCTCCAGACATTGCATTACTTAGGTAAAACTAATCGAGACATCTCGTCAAGCCGCTACATAACTGCTTAATTATATAGGAATGTTTAGAAAACTGACTGGCTCGTTGGCCGAGTGGTCGCAAGTGCGACTGCCGGACACGGGGTCTCGGGTTCGATTCTTGGGCCAAGCAAAGTATTAAAGTAGCACAGAGTCTGGAATTGTGCT